CCATATTCTTGTAGCCAAAGAAATACTGGAAACTCTGGAAACATCCAACTATGTATGAACATTTAAAGCTTAGAGAACATAACACAAAACAAATACCTCTGAAGTGAACATCTCCAGATGTTTTAACATATTTTTTATATATAGATATATATATATTATATGACTCAGCCATGGAAAACCAAAAGAATGTTCTCATTTCCTGAGGCTGGCTAACAAAAAAGAAAAAATGTGAATGAAGGAACTAAGATTTCGGAAATCAGCTTTTTCTCAGCAGCTTTAAAATTATAGCCTTTGATTTCTTTTTAATATAACCAGAGTATTGCCTCTCTCTTGCAACTGCATACACTCACAAAAGGAAGGACAGAAGAAAACACTGTTGTTTTCTTTGTGTGTTTGTAAAAGTGCTGCAGATATGCCCCACTTGAGAGACAATCACATTCCTCTTTTCCAAGTATCTCCTATCCACCCCAGCATCACCATTAGTCACAAAAATCAAGGAATCGATCCAGATCAAACCAAACTGGATTTCAATCTACTCCACTCGGAGTACTGCATACAGCTCTGGAGCCCTCAATACAAGAAAGATGTGGACTTGTTGGAGTCTGAGAGGAGAGCTGGAGGGTGATCAGAGAGCCGGAACATCTCTCATATACAGAAAAGTTGGAGGAGTTGGGCTTGCTTAGCTTGGAGAAGAGAAGGTTCCAGGGAAATCTCACTGCAGCCTTCCAGTTTCTAAAGGGAGCATATAGAGATCAACTTACTACATTGGCAGACAGTGATAGGACAAGAGGGAATGGTTTCAAAGTAAAAGATGGGAGATTTTGGTTAGATGTTAGGCAGAAATTCCTTACTCAGAGGGTGGTGAGGTGCTGGCACAGCTGCCCAGAGAACCTGCCATCCCTGGAGGTGCTCAAGGCCAGGTTGGATGGGGCCCTGGGCAGCCTGAGCTGATGGGGGGCAGCCCTGCTTATGCCAGGGGGATGGAATTATATGATCTTTAAGGTCCCATCCATGCCATACTTTGTTTCTATGAATACATGCTATCTACTCCTCTGTCTAGCCATCAGTTTCCAGCTGCACCAGCTCCCCTGTAACTGTGCCTCCATGGGAGCAAGGCCCTGGCCAACCTCAGGACGACGTGTCCGGCTTCTCGGATCCTGGCAGGCCTGGGAAGCAGTTACCACAGAAGAGCCTCACCCCACTTACCAGCAGGACCTGGCAAAAACAAGGGACTTAATCTAGCACATGTGTCTGTCTCCCAGCCACAAAACGCAAGCCTCCTCTGCTACCGACACAGAAGTTCAGAAGCGGGTGGTTTCCATCTGTGAGCAGAAATACGCTCCTGTTTGGAAGCATTTCCTCATGCTAGATTGCTTCTCGCAGCAGATCCTGCTCTGCTGATTCAGTCCTGAGCCTGCTGGGCTGCATGCAGGCCTTGCCATGCCTTCCCGAGCCAGTGGACAAGTATGCCAGGGATGGGAGGGCCTACAGCCCTGCCTCTCCACACCCCCTGCTCCTCAGAGCACATCTGAGGCCATCTCTGGATCATAGAATGGCCTGGGTTGAAAAGGACCACAATGATCATCTAGTTTCAACCCCCCCCGCTATGTGCAGGATGCAGACTTCTTCCCCCACGCAAACCCCTCAGCTGCTGTATGCCTGCATGGGGCCTGGACTGGAGCCACTCAGCCACGCTGTTGCCTCCCAATTATTTTCTGATGTTACTCCGCTGCTTTGCTGCAGCCTTTCCCAGTGCCCCTAACCACAGTAAAACAATGCATTAGTACAGAAAATCCTTCTAATTCTAAGCACAACTGCTTCCCCTGACTGCTCAGACCACCCAGAAAACCTTCATAAAGTCATTACACGGTCTTAGTTTTCCCAATTAGCCACAACAACTCCCCATCCATGACATGAGTAATAAATCCCAAGGCTTTAACTAAACGTTCCCACCAGTTTAGGTTTCGGTCAATCAGAAGTCCACCTACAAGTGTGTGCTGCTCACTTCCTCAAACTATTTAATACAAGCCAGGGTTGAAACAACTCTAAATGTACTGGGGTTGATGTAGGATTCACTTCCTTATTAGATTTTTTTAGAACTGGATAGAATGCTTTTTGTTTTTAAACGAACTAGGAAACGATGGAAAAAAAATGCTAAGAGCTAAAAATCAACAACAATGTAAGGAAAAGCAATTAACATGAAAAATGCAGAGCATAAGGCCTCATCCTGGGTAACAACACTCATGCATCGCAGGAGAGGCGCTCCAGATCTTACATACTTCCCTGTGCAGCAGGAAGGCAGTTTCAGATGTGGAAAGGAGGTCCACATGGCTCACAGAGAGCTCCTACCTGGACAGACCGACAGGTTTGGGGACCTGCTGATGGTCTTCACGCCCAGAAATCTGTTTAGCTGTCCCACGTGAAGGGTTGTTGAGGTACACAAAACCAAGTAACAGAAAGAAAAAAGAAAGTCAAGGTACTATCTGTTTAAAAGAACTAAGTAGGTATTTCCAGAAAGATTTTGACACTTCAGGAAGGGGAAGCGCTGAAGTAATTGCAAAGGAGTGTCCTAATTTGCAGAAAAGTATTTCCCCGGGGGCACAGTCTCCTGCTCTGCTTTCTCCAATTGTCAAGTTGAATTAGGACGTTCCCAGCCTCCTTTCATTCTTTCAAAGCGCCTTTCCGCCTCAACACCAGAGCTTGTGCAGCAGCCATATCGGCAATGAGCTCTGCAGCTCATCGCTGCAATGACAAAGACAACACACTGCCTACATACATGCTACGAAGGGCTCAGACAATGCGTGACTTCAGCTGTCAAAACACAACTGTCGTTCTCATTTTCCTCGTCATCAGCACCTGCTGTCACAGAAAAACTCTATGCAAGTACCTTTCCCACCAACTGGCAAGCTGCTTTTAGCACAGATCACTGCAACTGCGTCCCCACAACTGGAAGAAGTAAAAGGCTGCACCAAAGTACGGAGCGAGAAGCCTTTAAGCAAGGACTTGGGGCAAACAGAACACAGATGAATGCGGATGCCGAGCCTAACACACTTAGCGTGAAACCACAATTGCAAGAGCTGAAAAGCTTGCCTTAAGTGCTTTGATAGTAAATATTTTATTGTCTCTTGAAAAAGAATTTGTTAACTATGCAAGTGATGCTCCGTGCATTATGGGCCATTAACGGTTCCCCTGTCTGGAGCCCGTTCTAAGAACAAAGCCGCTGGGTTACAAATGAGGTTCAACTCCAGTATCACCTACAGCTTCTCATTTCCCTTACTAAGGCCTGTCAAAGCCAGCAGCACTACAGAGCACTCACAGGTGTGAGCTTCACACGAACAAGAGCTGGATATCCAAAGAGCCTACACCAGTTTGTCAAATACAATTATTCTGTGAATAAAGAGGAGCTTGCTTTGTAGGCAAGCAGGCAGTAAAATACTGAACATTTATTACTACAAAGAAAAACTTAGTTTCCACGAGGAAACTAAAAACGCATAAGATAATAAAAGACTCTAAACTGCAAGCTAATGTTTTGTTCTGAATCCCATGAGGAACGTATTCATAGAATCACAGAATGGCCAGGGTTGGAAAGGACCTCAAGGATCATAAATCTTCAACCCCCTCCCACATGCAGGGCCACCAACCTCCCCATTTAATGCTAGACCTGGCTGCCCAGGGCCCCATCCAACCTGGTCTTGAACAGCTCCAGGGACGGGGCATCCACAACCTCTCTGGGCAGCCTGTTCCAGCACCTCACCACTCTCTCTGTAAAGAATTTCCCCTGACGTCCAACCTAAATCTCCCCTCCCTCAACTTAAAAGCATTCCCCCGCAATAATATTCCGGCAATAGCACACCAAGATGAATTCAGCTCAACCAGCTGGAAACGCTGCCCATAGAATGCAGCCCACAACTCAGGCACTCTCCAGCCCAGGCACCGCACAGCCACAACTCACGTTCAGACGTCGAACGCTGGCTGCTTTTGATTCGATCTACAACACGGGGACAGCTATAAAGCCGCACACCCCTCGCAGCCACCCAATGCCGAGCACCCGCTGCAGCACCCCTGCTCTAGGGACGCTCAGGTTGCAGCAGCAGGTCCTGTACAGTGCAAAAGCAAACGCAGAGGCAGCGCACGGAGAGCTAAAAGCATCCGTCAAAAGAAACAAGATCAAAGTTAGAAAGAATAGTAAGGAACCGCACGCACGTTCCTGCCGGCCAGATGTCTGCTGCACCTCCGCGCGGGTCTGGAGAGAGGCATCAAGTCAGCCCTTCTCTCTTCTGCCTCCTCGCCCCGGGCCGTGCAGAGCAGCTCCCCGGGAGCGCCGCCCAGCCGCGCTGTGAGCGCACCGCAGCCGGAGCCCAGGCCGGCTCGGCACGAGGCGCTGCCCGCGCTCTGCCCCGCGCGTCCACGTGTCAGCGCCTTAATTTGGGACGGCTCACCTCGACAAGCATTTACAGCGGGTGAGGCTCCGGGTAATTAGAGCAGACTTTGCTTTCTATAAGCCGTCCCCATGAACCTCTCTTTCCCTTAAGGCAACACGCGAGAAACTCCGCGGAGCTCACCCGGGGCTATTTACCAGCAGCGTTTAACTCGGTAACCTCCCTCGGGAGAGAAGGCTGTAAGGCAGAAGGGCTCCAAACCCACGCTCCACCCGGGAGGGAGCTCAGCAGAGCACGGGGATAGCACAGGAACGAAGGAACGCCCGCCGGTTCCACCGCCCCGCTCCCCGTTCCGACCGCCGGGCAGCAAAGCCAGGCTCCCGCCCAACGCGCGAACTCCGCTGCCCTACCTGCCGGGCAGCCCCGCCGCCGCCACCCCCAACATCGCGCCGAGCTCCGCCGCAACGGGAGGAGCCGCGCCGGGCGCCGGTAATGGCGCTGCGCGCCCGCCCCCTGTCCCCCCCGCGCTGCCGCCTGGGGGCGCACTCCTCCCGCGCCGCCGCCCGGCCCGCCCCGCCTCATCCCGCTGCCCGGTGGGAAGCGCCGCGCCGGGCTGGGGGCGGTCCTCTGCCCGCCGCCGCTCGGTGAGGGCGGTTGGCGTCGCGGAGCCCTCGGCGCCGCTTTTCAGGACAGAAGATTGCTGTCGAAACCACGTCAGCTATTTTTGCTATGTCTTACGTGTGGTTTCACAGCAGGGTGCGAACTCCGCAGCCCCCAGAGGACAGCGTGCTTGGGGCGCGTGAGGGCAGCGGGCGTCGGCGCAGGCAGGTATGGGCCACTGCGTGCGCACGGAGGATAAGTGATGGAGAGCGACTTCTTGCGCAGATAACGACAGGGCGAGGGACGATGGTTTTAATCTAAAAGAGGGGAGATTTGGATTAGCTGTTTGGAGGACTTTTTCACTGAGAAGCCAGTGAGGTACTGGCACAGGCTGCCCAGAGGCTGTAGGTCTCCTCCTTGGGGATCTCCAAGGGCACCCTGCTCTGGGTGCCCTGCTGGAGACGGGGTGGGCCTGAGGGACACAGAGGGTCCTGCCGCCGAAAAACCCCACCGGCTAAACTCATTCACCTCCCATCTGGCGGCGGGATTGCCTTACATCATCTAACTAGGCAAGTTCTCATTCTGTGCCTGCTAAAGTAACACTACCCCTTTGTTTTTCTTCCTAATCGAGTTCGGGCAGTCTGCCATGTTACCTGCAGGCAGCTTCACGAATGGCTGTAATTAACCCCAGTGCGCCTTTGAGGGACCGGGAGCTGTCATGTTGCCTGGTTTCTGCTGCAGAGCTCAGCTGAAAGCAGCTTGAACAGGGACCTGTGCCCCAGCATACCTGAGCACGGGGCAGCAAACTGCACAGTGGTAAGCCCTGGAAATAATTAACAGCCCGGGCACATCAGTGAGCACAGCTGGTAGGGTCTTTCCTTTAGCAAGAGCATTAGAAGGTGTAATAGCATGGTAATCGCACCCTATGCAGCTCTCCAGTGCCTTCAAGAGACAGCAGCCCCAGAGCGTGGCCTGCTGGCAGTCTGATCTCACAATGACACTCATAAAGAACGGAAGAGCCTTCACCAAGCTCTATGCCAAATGCTAAGTACTGGCAGCCCTTGGAAGTGCTGCACCAAGAAAGTCCAGGTGTTGTGTTTCAGAGGCACTTTACTGCAAGTTTGTGCCCTGGCTTTGGAAGCTGACTCAAATTTTGGTTTTGACTTCCTGTTCATCAGAAATAACAATTCGTAATGACCTTCATTACATGGCATTAAAGCATTCTGGTATCCTAATTAACTTGTAAAATTCAGCCCAGAGTACTCAAGTAAATAATTCAATAGGATTCACAAACACACTCAAAAGAAAAATATCATTCCCTCCAGTCCTGTGTAATGAAAGGCTATGACTGCTTTCCTCCTACGCAGTTTTTAAAAAACAAGAGCTGCCTGTTTATTGCTGCTCACAGAGCCATCATTAAGGTAGATGCTGGCGTGTCTGGTGTCAGGAGTGCCAGCATCCCCAGGAGGTAAGTGAGGAAATGGAGACAGCAATGCTGAAATGAAGCTTGCTGAGGAAGCATGTGGCAGAGCAGGGATGTAGGACTCCGTATCTCCAGACCAAGCACCATAATCCTGTGATTATCTTTTTTAAAAAATCTCGCCATGCTAAATCAGTTTATTTGAACACATGTTTTTGGTGTTCTGTTTCCAGAGTGCTTTAAGCCTTCCATCACTGCTGAAATAGTAGTGTGTGGTGGTAAGGCTGGCAGGGGGACAAATGACAGTGCAAGACTTCCAACCATTTAGAACTGTACAATTTATCAGTGTTGGTACCACCAACAATACAAGGCCAATACTGTGAGCTTGGGGAAGGAGTAAGAAAGAAAAGGTTGTGGAGAAACAGACAAGAGAAAGGCTGAAGGGTCTGCCTGCCTGCCTGGGATGGCATTTTTACATCAAGTTTCTTCTCATTTCCAAAAAAGTTTTACAACTTTGTTATGGTATGAAGAAACTTGAGTAAATATGAGCCCGGGCACTTAAAAATTATCTAATCACTGTGTCTTCTTCACCATCTGGACAGGCTCCCCAGGACAGTGGGCATGGCCCCCAGCTGCCAGAGTTCAAGGACCGTTTGGACAACGCTGTCAGACATACAGTTTGACTTTTGTGTGGTGCTGTGTGGGGCCAGGAGTTGGACTCTGTGATCCCTGTGTTCCTTTCCAACTCATTCCATGGTTCTGTGATCTTCATAGCTTCAGTTATAAGTTTTTTTTGTAGATACTCCTCATAAGTGCATCTGCCTAGAGAGACAGAAGATGACAAAGAGGCTCTAGTTGAAGGCTTGCTGCCCAGAGTTCTTTCCATTTGAGCGTTCCTACTTCAAACAGTGAATATTTGTCCGAACTTTTGCTTTCTCTCAGAGCTTTGTGAAACTGCAGGTGCTGTATCCTTCCTCACATTGTTATTGACCCTGAGGGCCAGAGCAGACCCACGTTTGTTTATCCTAATCAATGGATTTCAGCCATCAACAATGTCAACAGGCTATATATCGTACTTTCAAAGCTTTGAGGCTTTCAGAGTAGAGGCATCCTTAAGTGTCTTCTGAATAATTTTTCAATACGCAGTTTCCAAGTAAATATTCATAGAAAAACCTTTAATGAATTCACAAGTTACAAATTATTTAGGTTTCAAACTCTAACTCAGCATTAATTTTTTTTTTTTTCATCTCAGATACAGAAAGAAAGAAATTTTGACCACTCTTGGAGCTTCATAACAATCTTTGCTACTTTTGTACTTAGTATATAATTTGCTTGGAATACTGACAGCTTTGTTTTAGTGATCACCCTGAGCTCCTTGTGAAAGCAAAGGCAAATTACTGCTTCTTGCATTTTAGCTGTGCCTGGCATATTTGGCTCCATCTTCCAAATATGGAGCCAAATATGGAAGATGGAAAGAGGTTGTGCAGGAACAAGGACTGATAACATCTGATAACTGCTGATAACATCTATTTGATGCTACCAGTTAGAAATACAGACACCTATCAGCAGTCTGACATCTGCTCCATGATAAATGTCTTGCAGTGGGAGTCACGAGTCGCACATCTTTCTATTGGTGCATTTAGAACATCTGTTGCTTTGTATGGCTGCTTGGATGTTTTTGCTAATGGCATTATTCTGAGGTGCTTTAAAGAAAGGACGTGGCTCAAGATTCAAGAAGCACTGAAGTCAAACAAGTCGGCTCAGAATAACTAGAGAGGAAACAAGTTACAACCCAATGTAAGTGAAGAATGTCATTTTTCGTTTTTTAAACTTTTTGTCCATGCAATTTCTGTTCTCCACAGAATCTCTCAATATCTCTCAATAGGTTTCCTCCATTTTCTCAAAATTCTCCTGCAAGAAAAGTTCACTGTTCCCCAGCTGTCTGCAAATAATTGGTTTGAGCAGTTTCCAAGAGCAAGGCTGGTGGAGAAGGTTGATGAGAACCAACAATAGGAGCTGCTGAAGTCTCGGTTGCTTCCACTTGCTTTCATCCCCAGTTTGCAGGAGTCCACAGCCCTCTGAGGTGCTGCACGGTCACCCCTTCGTGCCCCTGCAAGAGTGCGATGGCCGCAGGTTTAAGTAATTCATGTGGATCTCTTAAACATTAACTAGTCTATAAAAATATTTAGCTACTAAAAGTCAGAATGATATGATGGGCCTTCTCCTTTGCCAGAAGTAATGCTGAGCGTCAGCAGCTTAACTCCTGAAGAGGAAATAAGGAGAGTAAAGCAGCACTTAAGGTAAAAGCCTTTTCCTGGAGTTGTGTAACATTTTCCATGGATTTTATTTTTGAGATGTTTTGCAAGCTACAAATTGCAAGAGATCCAAGAACTAATATGTACATCCACTTACAAAAAGGTCTGAGTGTTCTCAGAACAATCTTCGATTTTCAAGCAATTAAGCTTTCAGATGAGACAGTAAAAAAAAAAAAAAAACTTAAATCCTATACTCAGCTGCAGCTGCTATCCAATAACTATCAATTTATAACACTTTCAGATGCCATTACAGGAGGAGTGGGGCTGTGCCTGTACCCAAAATAGCACGCTGGTTTTTACACCGATTACCTTAGATTCTTAAGAAGCCTACAGGCATTCAACTGACAGCAGAAAGAATAAATGATTTGCTGATATCAAAGAGGATTTGATTGTTGAAGCAGTAACTAACTGATGTCTATTTTTTCACTTTGCTTTACTGCTTTCTATCTTCACTGTACAATCCAGCCCATGTCACTTCATGTTTTGTTCATTTTCACTCATTTAGGAAGGATGGATTTGTTTTTTGTTTTTTTTTTCCCCCAGAAAAAGGCATCAGGGGACCTAGTTTTTGATCTATGGAGACATGTAAACCAAATCTGTTGAAAAGAGGTACTATGTACTGTGGCCATTCTTCCATGAAAAAGCTTAGGAATGCTGTTATCATGCCAGGAAAATTAGAAGAGCTTTTGAGTGCAGTTGGTGTAAAGATGTCAAGACATCAAGACCGAACTGTGTTTAACAACTGAGTTTGCTTTTGCTGTCGTGAGACAGTTTCATTTCCACGGCTTTGTTAGCAAAGCTAAAACAGAACATGAAGTTGAGCAATTCAAAAGCAACAGGTAGAATGGAGACTATTTACACTGCAGCAAAGAGAACATGAGATTAGAAATAGTCCAACTGAGACATCCACTCCTTTGCTAATCTGGTAGACTTTAGCCACCCGGAAGTCTCACCTTCTGAAATGAAAGGCTTGTGGAACAACAGTAAGGCTCCTACAGCATAGGTCAACTCAATCTAAACTGCAGTGAGGACTCAGAGATTAAAGGCAGAAATTGAAAGCAGAAACATTCTTTTGATTCTGTAACATGCAGAGGAAAGAATCTTGTAGGCGTCAAGGCATAGCCTGCTTTCAACAAAACAGTTTTTAGAGAAGTATTCTCTGGATTTGTAAAAAAGAGGGAGAAGAGCATATTTTATGCCTGCAACTGGGAGATCTGCCTCTAGTTTTACATCTGTCATGTCCTAAGATGAAAGAGGTATGCAGGCAGCATCTTCACAGTTGGAGACAAAGTGTGGCTCAGCACAGCCAGAGCATGCCTCAGCACCAGAGCAATGCTAGTACCTGGAAAAGACAGGATTATCTTTCTCTTTGGTAGCAGTTATTGGGCTATAAAGCTATATAAGTCTTCAAAAGCAGTGGTCACGAAAAAGCAAAGTATGTTGGTACTACTATTCCTCAAACCAAAAAGGCCAGTACAGTGCATGAGGTAGGGATCCAGGTAAGCTAGTTTCAGTCTGGCACAAGTCTTCTGGCAGTTTCCCATTTTACTTCATAAGCGAGAGAAAGCAAGCCCATGACACCTTCTTTGGGATGTGTGCAGAACAGATGGTATTGTCCCAGGGTGCTCAGAACTTTGTCTTCTTCATGTAGCAGAGAACTGTGAGCCTCACTGCTGGAAAAAGCACTGAGTTGCTCCACAGACACCAGCCACTGCGAGGCTCATCTCCTCCACTTTGGCATCAGCAAGGCACCATTACCAATTTGGTAGTGCCTCTGTATAAACCCATAGCCACAAGTGAGCTCAAAGCTGTACAATACTGATCTCTACCTCGCTCGGTGCTGCCTCGCCATCTGTCCCTTCTCCTGTGCCAACGCTCAGCAAATAAGGAATTGAGGGAAAAAATTCATAGGTTTATTTGATTGCAAAAGAAAGGTTCCTCCCCCTCCCCCCCACCAGTATTTCAGCCAGTATTGCTTCCAGCTTTTAAAATATGGAATATGGAACACTTCTCATGAAATGGTGGATGCGTTGTTGATTCTTGTGGTTTCTCAGCCTTTGGTTTGTGCTGATGCAAGACTGAAGGCATTTACTGAATGGTGGTTCAAGCTGTCCTCATTTTCCACTTAGCAGTTCTGCCCAGGTACTTCAGTAATCGTCCCCTCTTCAGAAAATTATTGCATCCTACATTTTGTTCCATTAAACAATATCTTTCCATCTTCCAGAGAAGGAACTTGAACAAAATCAATGGAAGAGGTGTCCTTTGACTTCACTGGCAGCAACAGGGCAAATGCAGTAAGAAAGCTGGATACATGGCTCAGAGTTAGAGAAACACCAGGGATATTGTGAAGGCCATGGTACTAACAGCTTCAGCATCCTGCATAGAAAGGGTACTCCTTGTGTGTTCCAGCCCTGAAAGAAACAAAATAAGGTTCTTTTCATGACTAAAGTAAATGTTAGAGAGAGATGTGTTTGATACATAAAAGAGCCATCATGGGCAACTCTATGGGGCATTGGGAATCTGATCCACAAGCAGGAATGTTGGAACTAGATGATCTTAAAGGTCCCTTCCAACCCAAGCCTTCAGTGACTCTATGAATCTCTTGACCCTAAGATGTGCCTTCTCATCCATGCAAGACAGTATTCTATTCAGTTCTGCTTGAAAAGTAGCCTTTCTTTTCCTTCCCTTAAGCACATATGCAGCATCCGAAAGTTGTTTAGATTACAGATTGATCTTAAATTTCAGGCTTTCTTTTTTGACTCATATCCATTTGTTCTTAGGTTAACTTCTTTTCACACCTTGATTTTTATTTATTTATACAAAATAATAAAAATTACCATTTTCATTTTCCCCTTTTGTCGATCCAGAAGTATCCATCCCTATTACTGAGTTACAAAGTAAAGACCACGCAGCTACTGTACCAGATCTTCTCTTGAATACTACAGTAAGCATCCCCATGTTTTTTCTACCTTGCACCCAAGTAGCATTTTCTCAGGTAAGAACAGACATTCCGAGAAAAAGAAAGGCACACTGTTGCATAAGGATGAAATTTATTGAACAAATGGACATATGAAAAAGGCAGCACAGACATGTTTCCAACCAAAACACTTATCTATTCAAACTAGTAATTCTGAAATTACTACAAACACACACTTTTACCTCTTCATGCATTTGGTTTTTCAGCTTGTGGGTGTTAACTGCTATTTGCAAGGCTCTGCTGGGAGATATTTTCACAGAACTAGTAATAGAGGATCTATCACACAGTTAAGGAAGTATGGTGCTCTAGGTGAAGCCAAGGCAAAAGCTGAAGGAGAGGTGGTTAAGCTGCCTTTCAAGCCAGTTATTAGAAACTAATAAGATCTGTTAGGTATCTTCCCCAACAACTTCAGGATTTCTATTATCAAAGCACAAGGACGGAGGGAAACAGAGAAAGGAAGATCTAACTTCAGAAAAATATTCTAACCATGTATTCTTCTGTTATACTTTGGGAAAGAGGAGTCCAGTCAGGAAAGAAAAACAACTCAGTTCTCCCATGTACCACACTAACACTGGCTCCCTCTGGCCATTCCTGAACCCTTAATCCAACTGGGCACACCTATACCTTACACCTCTGGTCTTCCTATGTTCCAGACAGAGCACATTTGGCTTGCAGACAGGGCTCTGTTCTGTCAAAAAAAGAATGCAGAAGGCACATCCATAACCCGTTTTTAAGCCCATGTAGGTAGTTAAAAATGCAGCTATAGTGCACATAAAGTTCTAGAAACTGAGAATTACTCCTTTTTCTTTTTAATTAAGTCCCTATATATACTCTGCATAGTGACAATATAGTCTCATTTTTATATTATTCCTTTCCATCCTGAAGCTAGGGCTGAAGGCAGGCAGATAGAAGAATAAAATTTGGTCCTAAGCTCATGAAATCTTTGGGCAGGGGCTACAATTTCTGGGAAGTATTCCAGCAAATACGGCAGAAGGGGGAAGCAAGGGGGAAACAAGGAAAGAAATAGAACCAGAAAGCAAAGTCAGCACAATGCTCCTCCAAAAAAAGAGCACGAGTATGTCAAGAAGCAGCAGTACTAGTTACCATTTTAAACTGCTTTTTGAAAGCAAATCACAGCCACAATGCTGTAATGTTACAAATGCAAATACATGACATATAAAAACTACTATGCAAAATAATTCTGTGTCCAGTCCATACTCTTCTAATGCCATTGACTGCAAGTGCATATTAAACCTTGATATATTTACTCACATCAATTTTTTGCCACTGAGGTTAAGTTCTGGCAATCGTTGCATCAAAACACGACTTAGTAGCAGTTATTAAAATATTTTTAACATTAAGACCTTAATCTTTCATTAATAAAATATATATAGTGATGCAAGAGGTGTCCACTACATTCATAAAGACAATGCTTGAGTTTTACTAAGATCAGTAAGTGTGCAACTTGGACCTGGAAAAAGAAGTCACTAAGCATGTGGTACTTAGTACAGCCAAAGATATGTTATTTGCATGCATTTATTCACAGTTCACAATGTTAAATAATCTATAGTTCTGAAATATGTGCATTTAAAAAAGGAACTTGTCACAGATCTCCAGAGGCAGTTGAGCAGACATTGTGCAGAAGGGACTAATTCAGGTCAGCTGCAAACTAAGTTTGAACTGAGCTTAGAAAAAAAAAGTCACTCATGTGCTTCTATTGTTAAAATCACAGCAGGAGAATGACTTACACACATTTTTATGTCTATCTGAACTCTCTCCCCTAGCTCTGCTCTAGCATTCTTTAGAGTGACACTAACAAAATCCAGCTGCAAACAAGAGTTAGTATTAAGCAGAGATCTGGAGCAAATCACAAATGTTGAAGATACAGTTATCGTTTCAGAAACACATGTAGCCTCATGCTTGCTATCTGCATCTCCAAACTATAGATGCCCTATGCTATTGGTTACCAGTTCTGTGATCTGAAAGTCCACACAGGGCATTTTCACTGGTAGCACAAATCATGAAGATTCCAGTTAGAGCATATAATGGAAGAAAAATAAATTGTGCTCAAGACTGTGGAATAGCTAAAGTCTGTTGAATTTGTCAGTTGTTTGTCAGTTGGAAATATACACCAACAGCAAAAAACAATCATAATAAACTGTTCAGTAACTGCTTTTACTAACTGTGCATTCTGACTTTCTGTTCTTGAATCCAGATAAATCTCAGCCCCAAGCGAGGTAATATTAAAGGAATGAGCATCAATCTGCAGGGCCTCAACTAAGATGGGCAGGAAAGAAAGAATATTATTTAGAATTGATATGTACACCAAGAAATGATTCACTGTAAAAGTGTGGGAGAGGGCAACTAGAGAAGAAAAAGAAACTCCAAAACATTCTGTAGTTGAAAGATAAGCAGGGTGAAGAAATGACATGTAAGCACTTCAGCAATTTACAAATAAATTAAGATAGTGAAAGGCAGCATGGCATAAAAGGGGAAAAAAAACAAAAAGGTGTTGGGTTGATAACAGAAGAAATAGCTCAGTTGCAGATTTATTTTCTGGAGAACAACAACAACAACAAAAAAACCAACAAAACCCAAAGAGCCTGGAACAGATATTAAATCATCTGTACAAAAGATTTGTGCAAATGTAGTGTGCAAACAGAAGTGATGGAAGAATATAACATCTTCAATCTTCAGGACATTTAAAATGTACACCTACTGATGGAAGTTCTGTCCTTTTCTTTCAAATGTTACCACAAAGGGTCTGATGTACAAACTCATGATTCTTTCTTTAGTATCTTCTATATGACTAAGTACAGATAGAGCCTTTTCATTCAAGTACAGGCATCACTACAGTAGTGTAACATTACTTCCTGGTCTTGAACACACACATCCAACCTCACATTAAAAAGCTGTATCTTAAGTCCTTTCTCCTAAAACTTCAGCTCATTCATAAGCACTGGTTCTTGGGGTACTATCCCAAGACTTCCAGAGATGCCATTAACCACCTCTACAGTACCATGCCATAGATGTGCCAAACATTGTATTTTATATAATTTTAGGCCCCTTTAAGTTTTGTGGATCGCTGCCTTCATATTTTCGGTCCAGCAATTCCAAAAGAAAAAACATAACTAAGACTAAAAATTTATTCAAAACAGAAAATCCCTCTTCTGCTCACAACTGACCTTACATTTTGTAAGCATCACCAGAGAGGAAATAACTCTTAATTCCTTCAATGTGCACGAACCATATAGGCTAGCGAGCTGACAAAAATTTGTGAGGAACTGTAAACACTTCAAAATATTTTAAGTCTAGGTATTCCAGTAGCTATATTAAATCAACTTTTTCTTCAAATCAGCATTAAAAGACCTGTCGCAAGTTTGTCAAATTCTGTTTTAAGCAATTTACAATTAGTTTGTTGCTTCTCACTATATGTCTGCTCATCAGCTTTGACAAGAAGTTCTCTGCTGTCAGAATGCGATACAGTATAGTCTTTCAGAGCTGATGAGGTGTTCTTCCATAAGAAGAAACTTAAAAGCTGAAAATAATACACAGAAACAAAACCCCATAGTTCAATGTTGAAACACCAGTGGATTGTTCTTCTACTTTAGGATTTCTCTTTTTGTAATGGTGGAATGTATTTAAAGATGCAGCGCTTCCACTGTCTCATCGCAGTCCTGACCAGCTGTGAAGGTATGAAGCCCACCCAGAGGGCCGTGAGGAACTCTCTTCCTCACCTGGAGGAGGAGAAATACATTCTGTAAGTTTATGAGGCTAGACGTTACACAATTTGAAAACTTGATCTTCATTTTTCCCTCCTCTATCAAGTTTTCAAACGCTGTTCTTGTCAATTTGATGAAGAGGTAATATTCAGTACTTACACTCTGCAAAAGATGTGGACTTTAATCACCCAGTACACTTTAAAGAAACCATTTTATCATCTTCTTTCAGAAAAATCCAGCCAGTGTTCATTAGAATGCCAAAAAACATTGAGATGCTATAGGCTTAGTTTACATATAATTTTTCCAAACGCAAAGCTTATCATGGAATGGATTACATTGTCACTTACTCACGTGCTTTTCTTCAGTAGTTTAAAATGCTTATATACACACGCACCGTACTTACTCTTTATTCTTTAAGTAATTTTTAAATCAAGTATGCTAATGAAGTACTAGAAACTAGCTCGTTATTTATATAACTTAAAAAAACCATATCTTAAAAAGGAACGATAAGGGGACAAACAAGATATCAGAGTATTTTATTACAGTTCTTCAGTTAATTTCTTTTAAAGGCTCAACTATTCCTCCCCTCCTTCCTTAGTTCCAAAGGTTCTTAATCAGAAAGCATATTTTGCTGAAGAGGCTTTTTTAAAGCTAATTTATTGAAACTAATATTAGGTCTGCAGTAATGCCTTGAGAGGACCATTTTAATTAACTTTTTAAAACATCTGCCAAGAAAATCATTCATTTATATGGGAACCTCTATTTTAAGATCACTTTGACAGAAATCTTTACTAAAACATATGAACACATTACATTACAACTCACAAAACATCATTTTCTAAAATGTGCCAGAACCCCACCTACCTTGGGCAATTGCAACCAGCTTCCCTTTCTCTTCAGGGCTAAGTTGCAACATGGTGTCTATTACTGGCAGCAGCCTCTCTCTTTCACTTCCTGATTTGAGGAATATGAACTGCAATAGAACGTTCTTCAAATATTCTAGATTAGCCACAGATTTTTCTCTCTCCTGGTTTCGTTCCAATCTTCTTATTTCACTTTTAAGAAGCTGCAGATGACAAGGAAAATATAAATTAATAAAAGACCATGCAATGTTTTTTTGCATCATGAGATGAACACTTGAAGAAAGGTATTAAGAAGAACCAAAGGGAAAATTATGCAGCTTGCTTCAAAAAGTATAGTGTATGTGTAATGAAGTATTCAAAGCCAGACTGGATGAGGCTTTGAGCAATCTGGTCTAGTGGTAGGTGACCTTGCCTACAGCACAGAGGTTGGAACTAGGTGAACTTAAAGGTCCCTTCTGTGGTTCTGGACAAAAACCCACTGAAAACTGAACAGCTGATAATATCCAAAAAGAAATATAGATAGATAGATAGATCAAAAATAATTTATTCGGATAAAATCTGTACAGTAATTATAGTGAGATACAGTGCTAAAATTCACTTTCAATGATAAAGAGTTCAGAAGTTAAAAAAGCAACTTGGATCAGAGGTTTAACAACATTATCATGCATTAAGAAATCATAAAAGAAATGTTAGCCTGTTTTGAGAATACGTTATCTTTAAAAATGTTTCAAGAGAAATCCTGGAGTTGTTATCAAATATAACCAAATTTTGTTAGTACATATACCTCTAAACATGCATCTTCTTTTGTTTTAAAGACAGGTAAAAGGGATTACAGGGAGAGAGACCAATGTTTCCCTTGGAATTTACTGTTTTTAGCTAAATGCAAACAGTAAAAACAACAAAAAAATCTCTTTATAGCAGATATTAAACTTCCAAACTCTGCTTTTTTTGTAGAAGTAGTAGCAGCTTTTACTTCCCCTCTTCCCCTAGACATGAGAAACTGGGGAAAAAAATCCTCAAGTCAATTTTAGAAGTAATAATTACTCTTGTGAATAAAAAAACCCCTCAAATTAAAGTTTTGCATTCCCAAATTTCTATAGACTGCCATTTTCTGAAACATATTCAGTGTTAAACATTTAATCTAGGAAATACACCATACAAATTAAGCTGTCCCCACATTTACTGCATGCCTGCTGACCTTTATTTGCTCCATTAGGATTGCATTGGTCGCTTCTGATTCACGAAGTAATTCATTCAGGTGATCAGCACTCTTTGTTGTTGTGCTTAGTTTCTCAATCAGTTCATCCTTGGTGAGCTCTGTTTGCCACTGGGATGTTTCTGCAATGAATTGAAAAAGAAAAGTGAAGGAGGAGGAAAAAGGACTTACATCTACTTAATACTAAGTTAACATTATGACTTGATTAATGCAGTTTCTAAGATGTACACAGGAAATGAAATCCATGCAAATTAAGACTGCCAACTAACAGTCATCATTTCTGCTGCTGTATGCTTGTTTTGTGATTTGTTTTTGTATACACACATTTTTTAGAATTGATTTGCCAGTCTCCTCATAAGTACATCAAGATACATGGTTTTAATCTACCCCTTGCTTTCCACTCATAGATGAAGATTTTTCAACATTTCTCCACACGGTATTCAGTAGAGTTTAAAAAATATGGTTAGATGCTACCACTTATTTTTCTACTTTTTGGGATGCTGTTCTTTCATTTTCCTGAAAAAAGTATGAGTAAGTTCCTGTTCTAATAAACCACATTAAGTTGAACAATTTACCCTTTCATTAACAAGAGTCTCAAGTAGAGACTAGTCACTTTGCACCAAAAGTTCTGTAACCATTCACTGACATAGTCATGCATCCTCTTCCCTTTAGAAAGTTAAAAATATGAGATCTCACTAATCTGTATTCAAGGAGAAGACTCATACAGAAATTCCAGACAGTGTATACTCAGGGCACTAATTAAATGTCTGTGCTACAACTAAAAGCATGAAGAACACAACATTCTCATATATTCTGAGGGCACAACCTCCAATGCTTATAAAAGCCACGTGTTCTACCTACCTGGTTTTGTTTCTGGAGAGTTTAGAAGCTGTTCCAAGGATGGTATGTAGGTGCTGGCTGAAGAGACGGACTCAGTGTCCGTTGTTTCCATACCTTCTCCTTCCTCCCTTGCTACAGCGTGCACATCTAGAACGGGAAGGTCCGTGTTTCGCCGTTCTCTTAAGTTCTTTGGTACAGGATTTGAAACAGCTGGACCTGAAAGATACTTACTAATGTTTGTCACTGAAATAAAATAGATGTACACCTATGAAATCACTCAAGCTATCTCAAATTGGAAAGCAGTATGTAATCTACAGACTTGAAAGCTAGATACAAGCAAGTAATAGAGCCTTTTACCTCCAGACCACCATTTCAGTCAAAGCCAGATTCCAAATCTGATCTTAATCAGCAATCTTCATTTCAGGGACTATGAAACCTTAATGCATCATACCCTGCAGATTCTGTAGCTTTGATAAGAGTGCCAAGTGTTTTTGATGCAAAACAGAATTAGCTTTTCTTTCAAACAGTCCTGTGGGTGGTGTAAATTAGTCTGTTGTAATGCTTTGTGTGCTATCCTGCTGCTTCAGTACACTATCAGTTACTGCAATACAGCTAAACAACATATGGAAGGAGCAACTTAACTTAAACTGTTACTGTTTCTTGGCAATTATCTGACTGCATCCTAACGAGTAACTACACAGATTTTAAAAAGTAGCACTTAAGTTGAGCAGAGTAAAATTTTATATTAGATATGGGGGCAAATAGCAAGTATACCAGTAGTAAATATTGTTAAAAATCTTTCAGTATACTCTTGTGTAGCTTTACTCATCATACTGGATGGCAGAGATCTGTTAAGCTCTCCAAAATGTGAGACAAACTGAACACCAACTATTTACAAAAATGATTTCCCTCTATCTGTCTCCCAGTGCAGACACTGCAGAAAACTTAACTGTGATACTGATTGTGGAGGTACAGTAATAATAAAACCTCATTCTTTACTTGGAATCAGAGGACTGATATGACTTACTCAATCAATTTTCTACAGGAACTTTCTGTTGTATTACAGAACCACATACTAGTTTCCAGTACAGTCTCAAGTACAGTGTCAAGTACACAAATTAATAACCCCCCAAGAGTACATAACCCAAGAAAACCTGGTTTCATGACCAAAAGTTACCTCTAGTGCTTGGTTCACTCTTGAGTTGGAAAAGCTGAGCTTCCACCCTGGACAGTTGCTGCTGAAGTGTCTCTACTGTCTTCCTGTGTTCTTCTTGCAGGTTCCTGACTTGATCTCTGAAATTGTTCCGGAGAGCTTCATTCTGGGCTGTCAGCTGACTCAAAGCCTGAGCATGCTCTGTTTTCATGACCATATTCTCAGACTGTATTGTGCAGAACCTGAAAACAGTGTAAACACAAAATACAAGAAACATACAACAAAACTTATTCTTGACAACACAAATTTGCCTACGGTTTAAATTAATTTTCAGTCTTCATATCTTAGAATGTCTGTTTCACTTTCTTCCCCCAACTTTATCTTTTGCCAGGGCAAATCTAAGAGTAAAAAAGTGATGTTTATCACCAATCCTAGGAATGTACTGCATTATATAAGCTTTTGACTTCTATGTCAGAAGATAAAATTCAGACTTTGGGGAAAAAAAAAAAAAAGAAAGTACAGACAAGCTATGGTCTGAATTTTTTGCTGTGATCTGAACATTCTTTAACTGAAAAATTGCAACATAACAATTTATCCTCATTACATGCACGTATTTCTTTTCCTTTACCATTTATTTACCGAAGATCCATGCAGGACTTCTGAAAATATTAATTTCTAAGAAAATAGGTTTAATTAATTGATTAACTTTAAACTTCAAAACTCAGCGCAAAGGAGGGTAGGATATCATTCATCTTTCTTGGCAAGAAAAATGTCAGTATACCACATCAATTGTAGTGAATTTGGAGGCACTCCAGAAATAAGACAAAATTGTCAGAAGCAATTAAACAAGTGCATGTATGGAAACACTAAGCATAGAACTTGCCCTTATAAGTGTATAAATTTAAATTTAGCCAGTGCAGCAAAGAGCTAGCATTTCTGGCTATGAAAGAAACCTACTGTGGTATATGTGGTTTCCAGAGAAATGCAAAAGGACATGATTTAGATGATTCCAATGAATCATCATGTGGATATCAGGAAACAGTACAACAGATTAAGACAAAGGAATCAACAGTTTCTAAGACTAAACTGTAATTTCTAATGAACTTCTCACGAATTTTTGTACCCTAAAAGAAGACATGGAAAAGCTTTTCTAAGAGCTCAAGTAAATACCTATTCATGTCATTTGTCAGGAAATCACACAGAGTAAATAGATCCCTTTTGGTTTGGAAGAAGTAGGAAATTATGATTGTGGCAAGCATACACTTGAAAAAAAATACCTTCTGTAAAGAAGGTACTTGGTGGATATTTTGTTGTTAAACAGTATTTTACTAAAACGAAACGCGTGCATAAAATATTGTTGAGCAGTCCAACACAAATGTTGTACTGAGTTCAAGACATAAAAATAGTCAGTAAATTCAGCATGCTTAAAAAAAATTAGCTTTAAAAATTTGATATTTAACAAGTAGAAAGCTATCAGAAATCTCATATTCCCTGATCAGCTACTACTTTGTTTTCACTGCTGAAACCTCTGAAGGCTGACAAAAAGTAGCAAATAATACTTTCCAAAGTTCCTTTAACTTTCTCTAAAATTACACCATTCCTTTGGAAAGCACTATTTGAAGCCAGCTGCACAACCAGCACTTTAGATTCAAACAAAATAAACCATCTTTCATCAGCAGAGCATACTTTTCACGGAGTTCTGCCTCTTTTGCAACAGTCTCTTGCAGCATCTTATTGTGTCTTTCCAGCAGGGTGTCATGTTCAGACTGCAACGCCTGGAATTCAGCTGCATTCATCTGTAAATTATGCTGAGTTTCTTGTAGCTTAACTTTTAGTTGTTCTATCACCATTTCCAACTGTTCTCTACAAGGAAAAAAAAAATACATTTAGAGTTATCTTATTATTATACCCACAATGTTTTATGTAGCCAATCTGAGTTTTTTTTTTAATTTATTTCTGTATTTAAATTACCTACGGCACTGTGATCAAAATAAGCTCAGAATGTGACCACAGCAGAAACAATTAGGAAAGACCTGATTGCATTTCAATATCGTTGCAGATGAGTTTAATCACATCCTGCGTGAACTGATGGAAATGTACCAACTGGGGTAGGTGTGACCACTCCTACTTTCTGCTTCAATTCAGTTTGAATCATAATTGAATCAGAATTGTAGAATGGCCTGGGCTGAAAAGGACCACACTGATCATCTAGTTTCAACTCCCCTGCTATGTGCAGGGTCGCCAACCACCAGACCAGGCTGCCCAGAGCCACATCCAGCCTGGCCTTGAATGCCTCCAGGGATGGGGCATCCACAACCTGCTTGGGCAACCTGTTCCAGTGCATCACCACCCTCTGGGTGAAAAACTTCCTCCTAACATCTAACCTAAACCTCCCCTGTCTCCGTTTAAAATCATTCCCCCTTGTCCTGTCACTGTTCACCCTCGTATGCAGCCATTCGGAAGAATTAAGTGGAAGAAAGTGGTAGAGGGTTTTGTTCGTTTAGTAAATGCACATCAGTTCAATGAGACTGAAAGCAGTAGACAGGAAGTGGGTGGAAGAGACTGGCAATAAGACTGGCAAAGGTGTAGAAAGCAGCATCAACCCAAATAAGATACAGTTCTGACCAACAGAGTTGATAAAAATCATTCCTTTGAAAATTATTTATTACTTGTAAAAATTATTTTTTACTTGTTCACTTTGGAAGTACAGTAGCCTTCTTTCACAAAAAACTAATAACTGAGCTTCTTAAAATTCTGCAAATAGGAGACAAGAAATGCAACTCTTGCAATTTACTTGCTTCAGAGGAGATGTATTAAACAAACCAAACAAACAACAGAAAAAAACCCCAAGCCCTCTAATACCCAAGTCTCCCCCTGGTGGATTTTCAGCAGCATCCTTATGTACTAAGATCTATGTCAGAAATGACTTTTGACATCTTATGCATGAACATCCAGTTTGTCACCATGGTCAGCTACCAACCACTTATAAAAACACCTTACAGAAACTGATCTCTTTGAAATGAGATTCAACCACTGATGTGAAATTGAATTTACGTGGCTTCTAATTGTACTTCAATTATTTTCAGGGATTTTTTCACAGAGTAATCCTTTTTTTCAAGACTTTCCTTCTAAAGTAGCTGATAAGAAAACTGTTAGAAGGCTGCTAGAATTGATGACTGAATTGGCAGCCAGAGCTTTACTTGCATGACACCACTCCTTCCTGATAAAAATCCAAGTGAGTTCAGCTGAAAAGTATTAACTGCTGTTTACTTCTCTTAGCTGGAAATAGTGCTTTGCTTCAGTGCTTTATTGTCAAAGAACATGTCAGGTTTACTCAGTTATGCTAATTTCTGCTCCTGAGAAACAGGAGAGACATCCTAATACCTTACTTGTCCCTCTGTCTGAACCAACAGGTAATCTGCACAGAAATAAATCTGTTAGAGACAAAGCAAAGAATTACAAACTAGCACAGTACCACTGACAGCTGAGATGTGGTACAAATGAATGATCTTCTATTCAGATGGGTCCAGCCATGGTTAGAAAGTAATGTTAAAGATCAGACAGCTCTAATTTTATACACACATTTTTTTCCCCCTCAGATCAAATTATCAGAGGCAAACTGCCTCCTTTCTAATATTTTCCATACTTAAGAAAAAGTTAAATAGTGGAACTCACTAACATTAACAGCATAACCCAAGCATCAGTATTTTTCTGTACGGATATAAAAATTCTGGCTTTACCTTTCTTGTTTGGCTCCCTCAGTTTCTGTCTGAGAAGCAGATTTATTTTTTTGTTGTTTTAAAACATTATGAACACGAACTTTGTAGCTTTCAAATTCAGATGTAACAGATGCCTGCTCAGCCTATGACACAGAAAAAAAAAACTCTTAGTAAGTTATACTATTGACAGTTGCTCACCTATTTGCTCTAAGACAAAATGCATCTTGTACTGAAAAAAAGTCAAATAAAGAGTTATCATTTCCATTTTCCTCTTTTGAATGAACAATTTAAATGGCATCATGACAGACCATGCTTGTTTAGACCGTAATCAAATCAATTATCAATACAGAAACTGGAAAACAATAAGTCACTGACGTTCAACATCCCAGCCTTCAAGAAAAAAAGAATGTTTACTAATACAATAACAACATAATAAATTCAACAGATATCCATGGGTAAATTCAAAGTAAGTAATTCAAAGGGTAATGAAGGGGGAAAAACAAAACAAAATAAACCCACACTCCTCCTCAGAAAACCTGAAAATTATGTATCATTTTAAGTCAGCCCTGTGAGGATACAAAGCAAGGTATATCATAGCTTCCTGTAAGAGTATTCGGTCTCTGCCTTCTCTTCTGAACTCAGCTGATACATAAGTTTGTTTTCTATGGACAGATTACCTCACAATTTAAAGTCCTTTAGTGTACACTACATAGGCAAGAATTACTCCCACCTGAGTAATAACACCTTTCAAATGCCCATGCTGTATATTTTTCTAGGAAAATACAGGTGCAGGTTTTCATTCTTGATTCTTAAAGAAGCTCACAAGTCATTCTTGATGACTGAAATGCTCTAATCTCCATGGTGACATACACTTACCAGTATCACTCAGGCAAACCCACTGTTGCAGTCCATTTCACCTTTTTAAAATTTAGAAGTTTTTTAGCAGGATACATTCATGTTACTTTTCTGCAGGACTGACACCTATCATACCACACAGGAGGTAAGAGGGTGCACTAACCTACATAGAAACAACTGGAACAGAACACTCCTATATTCTGAACCTGTCTCTACTGCAAATACCAGGTTACTAGATTCCAGCCATATCTAACACAGCATGACATTGCCAAAAAATAGCAATAATAAAAACCTCAGCAAGTGTCAGCTCCAGCTGTAGCTCAGCTGACAATTAAGAAGCTGCTCATATACCAGCATATTAAAAGATGACTGCAAATGTTTCTCAGCTTAAAAAAAAAAAGTGGTAACTATGCTTTTATGAGGAGTAAATGATTTTTTTTCCCCTTTTTCTTCAGACAGAAGCGATTACTTCTCTTTTCTCCCCAGCATATCGATTGTCTTAAGTGGACTGTAGCTTTCCACTCCTAACAAAATTTTTACCATTAGTAATATAAAGTAATATAATGTCTGCAGTCCAGACATTCTACCACAAATGCTTCGTGACAACCAGGGCAGACGAGCTTGTCCTCTATACCACCACACAAATACACTAAGTACTGCGGAATTCCCAATTCCTGACAGACAAGATGACAACAGCAAAAGATCTGCAAAACAGTTTTAGAGATGCAGACAGAATCTAGAGTGTAGTAAATCTGCTTTCTAAAGCTGAAGACATCACTTTCATCAGAATACCTGTGCTGCTCTACATTCTTCTTGCAAAGTTGCAATTTTTTGCTGGTAAGCACTCAGTGTACGCTGGTGTTGCTCAGAAGAAGTGCGTAGATGTTCCTGGACTTTATGCTTTTCTGATGTCAGTGCAGCTACTTGAATCTGAAGAAAAAAAATGAGTTGAAAATGTGGTTGCTAATATGACAAACTTTTTCCTTCCCTGCCAGGGGAACGTGCCACAGACCCCACTGGATTGTATTACAGTAATTCCTGCACAAAATAAGTGAATATAAATTTAAATCTAATAAAAACAAAAGAAAGAGTTGCAACAAACTTAACCCTTAATACTTAAATAAGAAATACTAACTGAATCAATGGGCCAAGGTTAACTGTATGAGTTGCAATAGGGCCAAGTGTTGGGTCCTGCATTTTGGTCACAACAACCCCAGGCAACCCTACAGGCTTGAGGAGGAGTGGCTGGAAAGCTGCCTGATGGAAAGGGACCTTGGTGTACTGATGGACAGTCAGCTGAATATGAGCCAGCAGTGTGCCCAGGTGGCCAAGAGGTATCAGGAATAGTGCAGTGAGCAGGACTAGGGAAGTCATCCTGCCCCTGGACTTGGTACTGGTGAGGCCTCACCTCAAGTACTGTGTTCAGTTTTGGGCACCTCAGTACAGAAAGGACATGGAGGTGCTGGAGCAGGTCCAGAGAAGGGCAACAAGGCTGGTGAGGGGCTTGGAGAATATGTCCTATGAAGAGAGACTGAAGGAACAGGGGATGTTCAGTCTGGGGAAAAGGAAGCTGAGGGGAGACCTTATTGCTCTCTTCCAATATCTGGAAGGTACTTACAGCGAGAGTGGAGTTGGACTCTTCTCACTGGTGACAGGTGACAGGACAAGGGGAAATGGCCTTAAGTTGCGCCAGGGTAAGTTTAGGTTGGATATCAGGAAACACGTCTTTACAGAAAGGGTTGTTAAGCTTGAATAGGGTCCCCAGGGAGGTAGGTGAGTCACCATCCCTGGATGTGCTTAAAAACCATTTGGATGTGGTGCTCAGGGACATGATTTAGCAGAAGATTGTTAGGGTAGTATGGTTAGGTTGTGGTTGGACTCGAGGATCTTTAAGGTCTTTTCCAACCTGAGTGATTCTACAATTCTGTAACTTCAATATACTAACAAAGTGAAGATTCTTGCCTTCAAGGCTTCCACTTGTTGCTGACTGGCTTCCAGTTCTCCTTTTAATGATGCCTGCAACATCAGATGGTCATTTTCCTGCATGATAGAAGTATCTGGTTAATTGCAACTTAGTAATTCACATACCAGCCCAGTTTTAAAAGTTAGTTTAAAAACTGAAATATACGGTCATTGGTTAGTGGACTTACAGCTTGTTTTGAATCAGCCAATTCTTTTTTGGTTTTCACCAGGAGTTGTTTTATCTTGGCATTTCTTTCCTCGTCCTGCTGCATTGTTGACTGAAGAGACTCTAATGCAGAAAACAGCAATTATAGGAGGGAAGGCTTCCTTTGCCTATCTTTTCTTAAACATAATGGAAAATGTTTAAACAAGTTTTGACAGATCTCTTAGAAGCTGCAAACAGGTAGCTTACACTAACTTTAGTATATGACATCCATGTCATAAATACGTTCTAATAAATGAAATTGTTTTGAGATTTATACTTCAGGATAGGTAGAAATGAAACTTAACCACATGCTGGCTGGTAATGTGTTGTAAATGTGGTACATCAGACTGAAAATGCCTTGCAATCACTTACTTTCAGAACACATGACTAAGTTAACAAGATAAGAAGCAGTTTATCAGGCAGGTTGTTTGGCTCTTATTTGTTGAATATTACATCAAATGACTGCTGACTATAAAGTGAACCTTTTATTTAGTATTCCCTAAAAAACCTCACTCTCACTCATCAGCTTGAATAAAAATGAATTGAAAAACATTTTTTATTTATTTTTTTACAATTACTACTAACTATACTATACCTGTTGGTTATAGTTTACTCACTTATTTCTTCCTGTAGGGTCTCTTGTTTTTGTTTCTGAATCCCCGTCTCTTGCTCAAGATCTTCTATTCTACTATCTTTATCAGTAATCTTCTGATTAAGTTCTTTTACCAGCTTTTCGTAATCTGCTATTTCCATATCCATCAGTGTACTCTTTTGAGCATCCTGCAAGTTATACACAAAGAAGTTACAGCTTAAAACCTGCCTTGGTTGCTAAGAATTCCTTTCTCCTCCATCACAAAATAAAGAATTAAAGAAATATATATCTAATCTAACAAAAAGTTTATAACCATGTATATCAACAAGCAACATCCACCCATCGAGTTTCCATAATCCTCAGCACATAATTTATTTTCAAATGAGGATCAAAAGCTTAAGAACTATGTTGCCAATTTTAACAATTATCAGCGGTTATCTTGCAGGTATTTGTTTTTACCATATCTGCTCCTCACAAAGGCAGCTTCTGAATAGTGCACCATACAAATATTCCAGACATCTGCATGTATTCCTATTTCTAGTCATGACAGGCTGCATAACCCAAGCTAAAAACAAAACCACCATTACCCCAAAACAACCAACTACCATATTCCTCCTCATCACGTACCCCCTCAAGAAGTATACATCATCTCTCTGAAGTAAAATGAGTAAAAACTCGTGTTTTTGCTTTTGCATACCTTAGGTCTTAAGGTCCTCAGAACAGAAAGGGAGACCTTAGATACAATCAGAAGGGACAAAATTTTTGGTAGTCTCTTAAACTCACGCACAACAATTACTCTACCTTTTTGGCCAGCTCTAGCTCTTGCATAATTTTCTGCAGATACTTCTTTTCCTTCTGAAGTTGCATTTGAAGTTCTTCCACTTCTCGGAGAGTACCATTATGTTCCTGAAATTTAAATACTTTTCAGTTATGTGGAGCAATTTCAAAATAGATGTCAGCAGTGTAAACAAACACAGGCACCCACTCACTTAAATTGTACAATGATAAAATTCTTCACTAAGACATCGGGAGTCAAAGAAAACCTCACAAGATTATGAACTGGTATGCACATTCTGTCAGAATCTCCAATCTACTGTAAGTGATGGCCTTGAAAAGTTCTTTTAACGAACAGACAGCCTTCAAAAAAAGACCAAGTGAAGTAAGAAGAAGAAAAAGCATGGAACTTATCTATAATAAACACAGTTTATAAAAACTCTTCCAGAAGTCACATCATTGAGTGACAGTAATGCTTCAACCAACTTATCAGCTCTACATAGTATTATTACCTTTATTTTCTGTTCTTTTAGAAGCTTTTCAGCTTCCAGTTCTTTTTCAGCCTTCGCCTTCACCTTTTGTAGCTCCAGTATCTGAGCTTCTAGCAGCTTAGAATTACACTGCAGTGTTTCGACACGAGCCAGTAGGTCTTCATTAGCAGAATGTAGCTGATCATGCTAAAATGATCATAGTGGGAAGATAACAACATAAGCTGAATTTGCATTTGACTTTGATAAATAAGATACCATCCATATTTCAAAAAACAAACACTGATTTTCATCAGATTCTCTTATAAACACTACTCCTACTGATAACATTATAAACTGTTGTTCATCTTGTTTTAAATCAGATTAAGAACCGGGTTGAAAGAATCAAACTGTGTGAGTATGTTTATTTTGTTCAGAGTTCATGAGCACAGCTTACTGTAAGATGGCTAGAATAAGCATAAGAAATAGGAAAAAAAAAACCAGAAAACCAAAAGAACAAAACCCAACCCTTTATTGCTCTCTGCAAGAATGATTTGTCTCCCACAATAACACGAGATATTTAAGTACTCAGTTGCCCTATTTCAAGTACAGTTATATTTACAAAGAAAGCCTCAACCTATTAACCCCTAAAAAAAATCCTTCAACTACAGCACCATGGAGCCTTCAAGGATATCATATCAGTATATATAGTAAGAACTCCTCCTGTTCCCAGGCTATTGTTGGAATATTTTAACAAATCTAATATCTTCAATATTTTTATCTATTATGCAGATTAAAGTGAAAGAAGCTAGCAATTACCTTGACAATTTATATAATATTTCATAACAACTTGAAAAAAATAAATAAAATCAACCCCTGCACAATCAGCAGAGTGTATTTTACTATTTATCATTTCTTCTTCTGCTATTCACTATTAGTTTCTCTTTTAAGAAAAAGGTGGCCAAGGTTCATCTGCATTGTAATTACATAATGGGGCCTGAGAGTTTAAACCCTAAATCCGCAGTCTATTTCAGCTAGTTTTTGCAGAGTGCATCTCACAGCTGTTTAATTACCATCTTAGACTTCTGAATGCCACTATGGTATTCCACAACACATCTTCAAGTCTAATTCTTGTGAAAGATGCAAAAAAAAAAAAACACAACAAAATCACCACAGTTACTTTTGTTTCTTTAAGCATTCTGTTGGTGAAATAACAGAGGCATATTCTGTTTAAGAAACTGAAGGAAAAAATTAACACCAAGTTCACTGTACTTCATGGCAAGTGTGGGTATGGAATCAGATAAACAGTGCAATTTCAATACTTTCTGATTTTTGTTTATCTGATACATGCAGCAGAGTTGATCACCTGCTCTTTTCTGTGAGCTGATCTGGGCTAAATTAAACCCTATCTAAAAGACAAGTCATTCTAGAGATCTTTAACTATCTCATAGCCCATATAGGTATCAGATGTTAAGAAAAACTGAATTTCAAGTAACTATTCAGAATGCACTTGAGTTACGAGACTAAATATGTTACAAATCACATGAAAAAATCTTACATTAAAATAACTGTTACTTTAATTATCAGTATCTCTTACACACACACAGAACTGACCTGCTGGGATGACAGCTGTAGCTGTCTTGTGAGGTCATCTATCTGACGTTCAAGACTATTTGCTCTGCCTCTTTCGGAATCCAGCTCTTCTCCTTGTTTATCATATTCCATCAGAAGATTCTTAACACAAGCACATACAGACGAACTTTCATTTTTATGATCCACATTGCTTGTCTTAAGCACATTCAAAACCCCAGACACTTATTATCTTTCTAATAATTAAGCACACGAGATATTCTAATGCAATATAAGAAATCTCAAAATGAAACTAAAGCTATAGTTCCATTACAAGTTCTGAAAGAAATCATTTTGCATTTACTCTTGGTAAATCTTTGCCGACTGTCCCCAGCTAACTGCTTCTCAGTCATGTGCCCAGAGAGGTACTCTGAGAGGACCTGTTCCCATGGAATTGTTCGCTTTTCTCTTTATCACTCAAAGATTTTTTTGTAACTAATTCTCAGTTTATACAGATTTAAGAATTTGTAACAATAGATTTGCTTCAGCAACATTGTCTGACACATATGATGCCAAGTTTAAAAGAAGGTTTAAAAATATCACCTAGGAGAAAGGAAACGTCTTGTTTTCTTCTGACAGCATCCACATGGTTCTGTTACAAGAACTTATATTCCTGATTTGGATACTTGAACTGCACAGGCACAATTTCTTTTACAAAGCTCACTTGTGCAGGTAAACAGTAATAAATATCCAGGGTGGGATTCAAAAACGTTTTTTTTCTGACAGTTAACTGCCTTTTATAGCTAGCACTGTTCCTACCTTATAACTTTCAGCTCCTTGAATGACATCTTTCATTGAAGCAGACAGTTGATCTTTTTCTGATCGAACCACCTCCAATTCCTCCCTCAGAGTCTGCATCTTATTACAAGGAAAACACATGCCATTAGAACAGAATCATACATGCAGGATGCTTTTCATGTTAAGAAGCAGTTAAGGTACCTCTTTCCGGCTGGTATCTAATTCTTTCTTTGCTCTCACAGCAACAGCTTTCATTTTATTTAGCTTCTCTCCTTTTTCTGCAGATTCTTTTTCTAGTCTTCCTAAAATAGATAAATAAGAAAGTGAATAAATACACCTCCTGAGGAAATGAAATTCAATTGAAATTGAATTTGAAATGCAAGTTTGAAATAAGACAAAATATAAAAGAGATATTAAAAGGTTCCATTAAGTTAAGCCTTTCAATTCACTTTGAAGCTAGAACATCCAGTCTCACAGATAATTCAGGGAAACTCTTTCCCTGTTCCGAAAACTTCAGCTACAGTTTACAGTAAAGGCACATTTCTGTGTACTTCTACAGTCAGATGCAGCCCAAAATCCTGGCCTGCATCAAAAATGGCGTGACCAGCAGGTGAAGGAAGTGATTTTCCCTCTCTACTTTACTCTGGTGAGACTGCATCTGCAGTATGACATCAAAGCCTGGGGTTCCCTGCACAAGAAAGACATATTGCTGCTGAAGGAGGTCCAGAGGAGGGCCGGTCAAAGGGCTGGAACACCTCTTCTACAAAGAAAAGCTGAGGGAGAGGGGCTTGAGTTCAGCCTGGAGAAGGCTCAAGAGAGACTTTATAGCAGCCATTTAGTATTTAAATGGGTCTTATAAAAAAAGATGGAGAGTGACTTTTTACAGAGGTGGTGATAGAACAAAGGGGAATGGCTTTAGTTTAAAAGAGGGGAAATTTGGATTAGAGGTTAGAAGGAAATTATTTACTCAGAGGGCGGTGAGGCGCTGGCACAGCTGCTCAGAGAAGCTGTGGTGCCCCATCCCTGGAGGTGCTCAAGGCCAGGTTGGATGGGGCCCTGGGCAGCCTGAGCTGGTGGGGGGCAGCCCTGCCCACAGCAGAGGTTGGGGCTGGGTGGGCTGTGAGGTCCCTTCCAACCTATGCCATTCTGTGATTTCATGACATAGTGATAACTACTAGAATAATTTTCTTTCTCATGTGTTGGGGTGACTGCAATTAGACAACAGCATACTTAGCAAAATGCATTCTCTCTCTTGGCTGCCTTAGGGATTTTTATTGACAATTATTTTTTCCCTGGTTTAAAAAGGTGACATCTAATACACTGTTTATACCTAAATGTACTCAGGATGAAAAAATATAAGATACTAATGTTAGAAATTTTAAGTCTGCTATCATTTTGAACCTCTAATAGGATGAATACTGAATGAAACGTCATTGTTATCCTACTTCCCCACCTTCCTGGGTTTATAGGAAATATACTATCACTATGCAGAGAAAAAAATCTTTGAGCTAAACAATCCAAATAACTTTTGTTTACAGAGAAGACAATAGTAAGATAGATACCAATTTTTTCCTGAAGCTCTGCTACTGAAGATTGTTCATCATTTTTCTCAGTCAGTGTCTCCATTACAGTCTGTATTATAAAAAAAGATACAAGTAATATTATAAAAAAATTGTGATATGTTTTCAACAAGTCACTAGCAGTTCCAGCTACGAGCTGGACTATGTCTACGTTCCTACTACCAAGAAAGTCATAATGCAAAACTGCACATAAGCTTGGTCACTGAAAAGTGTACTTATTTTAAAGGGAAAACACTCCAATCTTTCATCAGTTGATTTCCATCCTAACAGAGGACAAAAACAAAAAAATGGAAGACCATTAATTCTGACCAGCTGTCAGTTTTACAAATCCATGAATATTCCAGGACCTGAAATTAGGAGCAGCTAAATAAGGTAGATCAAGCAGTTTTGAGATGGAGCCATAGGAAGTTAGAGGCGAAAGATTATTAGCTCAGTTAATCCATCCAGTTAAATGATCACTTTGAGTGGCACCAATAGGGGAAAAAGGTTCAAGTGCAAGTGACATTAGTCGTAACTAAAAGAAATTGTAAGATTTTTTTTCTGTTTATTTGTTTGTTTGGTTGGTTTTTTTTAGAACTTCTACTGTAGGGAGGGAGGGGAATCTGAGGTGTTTGACATCTCAGAAACGTGCTTTCTGAAAAAGGAAACTCACTTTGAGGCCAAGGAAAAAAAAATAAACAAAGAGAGAATGAAAGTATTTTTTGAACCTTAATTCTGAAGACTTTAGAGGTTTAGTCTGTATACTTCAATAACAAAATATAACCTTTAGAGAACTCAGTTCGTCTTTCACATTTCTAAGTTCAGTTTCCTTTTGTTCCAGAATGAAATTTAAGTCTTCTTGAGCTTTGGATCCTTTTTGCTGTTCCTGTATTTGGCTTTCATAAAAAGCAAGTTTTTCAGACATCCCTTCAATCTTAGCTAACAGATCTTGATTTTCAATCGTTGCTTTTTCACCAGCACTCTTCAGCTCCTGGATATCATGTTGAAGGGCTTCTTTTTCAGACAACACTTCTTCCAACTCTTCTTTCAAAAGATCTTTTTCTCTTCCAAGATCCTGAAGCAGGGATCTATGTTCTGTATATTGAGTTGTGTTTTCTTCCTCTAGTCTCTCAATTTCCCTCTGCAAATGAATAACTTTTTCCTCATTCTGTAGAGCAAAGCACTGCTTTTCTTTCATTTTTATCAAGTGTTCATTTGCAATCTGTAGTAAGTTGAGAAAATCACATTCCTCATTAGAGTCGGAAATGCTGTACCCCACTTGCTCAAGCATGTGGTACAGTTGAGTTCTTACAAGGGATTTGTGAGCTTGTTCACTTTCAAGCAATGATGATATACGGTCTTTTTCCGCAGTCATTATTTGTAATTTCTTCTCTAAGTTTTCAGACTTCTCTTTCAATACTAGCCAACCATCTTTTTCATACATTATTTTTTCCAGCTCTTTACTTAATTCCTCTTTTTCCTGAACAATTTTCTTATTTTCCTCACGAAGAGCAGACACTTCAGATGAAACGTTCTCTCTTTCACGCACTAGAGTGTCAACCTGATTTTCCAATTGCTCCAGCATTTTAGTGTTTTCATTCTTACCAGTTAAAGCATCATTCAGTCTCCCTGTTAATTCCTCCAGCTTTTTCTTCAGGTCACTATTACACTGGTTAGCAACATCTACCTCTTGCTGAAGTTCCTGAACTTTTCCTTGCTCTTGCTTGCACCTTTCCTGAAGGGCTTCTCTCTCTTCACCTGAGCATTTCACTTCATTTAAAATATCCTTGTTTTGATTGGCAAGAGCAATTATCTTCTCTTCCAGTTCCTTTATAGAAGCCTCTTTTTGGTGAATGCAGCTCGTTATTGTGTCATTTTCCTCCTGAAGACCAACAATTTTATGTTTAAGTTCTTCTATCTCTAGCTGATAAGAAGACAATTTCTGTGTTTCTGCCTGGAGGCGATTCACAGTTTCAAGGAGAACATCCTTCTCATTGAAAGCAGCCCGGAGTTTCTGTTGCAGTTCACTGACATCAGAAGCTTGCTGTTGTTTCATTGATTCAAACTGCTGGCTGATCTTTCCAGCAGATTCTCCTAACTCAGTCTGTATTGTTTCTAGAGTTTCTCTCAGGCTATCATAACTGAGTACTGCATCTTCCTTCTCCTGAGTCAGCTTTTCAAGTTGGTCTTTAAGGTCCTGCATTTCAAACAGTAATGCCATTTTTTCTTTTTCAGAACTAGATAATAACGTTTTATTTAGCTCAGAGATTTCTCTTTCATGTTGCTCCCTCAAATTCTGAGTTTCTAGTTTATGTTCTTCTGCCATGGTTTCCCAGTGGTGTCTTGCTGCTTGAAGCTCCAATTTCAGTTTTTCAATCACACAACAATAGTCTTCTTTAATAAGCTGCAATTCATTTATCTTAAAATCCAAGTCTTCTCTTTCATGAAAATGCTCATCTTTTATGCGATGAATTTCCTCCTCCAGTTTTAGTTTAACATTACTCATATAAGTTAGCTCATCCTTTAAAATACTATGTTGAGACTGGAGATCACCTAAGCTACACTCCAGGTGTCTAATTTTTTCTTCCATTTTTGCTTCTACACAAGGCTCTTCTTGCATACCTAAAACATCTACCTTGTTTTCTATATTTTTGTTTAAGACTCGTTTTAGCTGCTCAAAGTCATGCTCATGCTGCTCAGTATGACCATCTGTTTCATCTTTCACATTTTTCTCTTTCATTAAATCTGCCTCTGCCAGACTGTGCTGTAACTGATTTATCTGATTTTGCTTTTCTTCATTTTCTTTACAAGATATTTCAATGTGATGCATCAGTTCTGACACCTCTTCCTGATGGGCAACTTTTAATTGTTTAAGCTCTTCACTCAGACTATTGATTTCACTGTGGTAACACTGAGAGTTGCTTTTAATAGTTTCTTGCAGAGTTGCAATTTCTTTGTTTTTGTCATCATTCACAGCTTCCAACTGCTTGCTCAAGCACAAAATTTGTTCCTCGTAAGTAGATTTAATTTTTTGGACATAATCTTGTAATCTTTTAACTTCTTCTTGATTATCACTACAACATTCAATCTGTTCCACCAGTTCCATTTGTTTCTTCTCTTGCTCTTCTAATTCTGTTTTCAGCTTTGTTAAGTCCTCATTGTATTTGGATTGTGCATTTATTAATTCGTCCTTCAGAGCTTTTATTTCTTCCAGCGAGTCAGTATTTGATTGCTCCAGTTGCTTCTGCAATTCTTCTGTCTTAGCCACTGCAGCCTAAACAAACATACAAGTTATTAAATACTGATAACTTAGAAGATATAACTTCCAAATAAACTGTTTTATAGTAATAAACTAGAAGATTTAGGAATCCTTAGTTTTAAAAATTGCTATAGTTTTTAAATAATCAGCTATTTTACAGCAACTCAATTCACAAGACTGCAGAGAGTAGACAGTAGCCTGCCGGTAAAAAAAAAAAAAAATCTCATGAAATAGTCATGATAAATTTCAGCTTTAGCAACGACTGTGATCATGTATTAAAGACAAAAACACTTTTATCACATCAAACTCAAGTAGCTAGTATATAAAGCTAGTCATCAATTCTATGTGACTGAACTTCACTTTTTTACTGATGTTCAGTTCTTTATACAGAGAGAGTGGTGAGGTGCTGGAATAGGCTGCCCAGAGAGGTTGTGGATGCCCTGTCCCTTGAGGTATTCAAGGCCAGATTGGATGGGGCCATGGGCAGCCTGGTCTAGTGTTAAATGGGGAGGTTGGTGGCCCTGCATGTGGCAGGGGGGGTTGGAGATTCATGATCCTTGAGGTCCCTTCCAACCCTTGCCATTCTGTGATTCTGTGATGTGATTTACATGACTTAGCTCACAAGCTGCTTTCAAAGCATGTGTGAATGTAAAATCTCAGATTTTCCACAAAAAGACAGAGTTGATTAACTGGAGGCATCTCATATCTAGGCTACTAATACACAAACTGAATTCTTTTTGAATAGTTGTCGATCTAAACAAAATATATAGAAATTTTTCATTTACTGTCAGTCCAATGAAAGCAAGAACTTAGAGGCCAGAGAGAAAATCTGCTTACATATGAAGCCTTCTGATCTTTTAACACATATAATAGAATACATGTGAGTGAAGAAAAAATAAAAGTGAAATATATAAACAGAACTACAAAATAAACATTCTGAAATACTTTATTAATGTTCTATTTGTTTCAGTACCTCCGCTTCTTGTTTTCTTTGAAGATTTTCTTTTTTCAGAGCTACACACTGTTGCTGACTTTCAGCTTTTTCCAGAAGTACAACATCCAGTCTTTCTGTGAGAGCCTAATTTTAAGAGAGAAATATTATTGGAAAAAAAGTGTTCTCTTAACAATAGAAACTTGGATGATTCTTGCAAAGCAATAGAAACATGCATACTGGTCACATCTGTTGTTTTTTTTAACGATGTAGACTAGACTGATCTTACTTTCAGCCCAAATGCAACAGATACAGAAGAGCTATACTAGTAAAAGGATGTTGAGTAGTATGTTTTGTTCAAAATCTTGGTTCTGATCAGCTCATCTAGTTTTACTGCCTTCTGGAGAAATCTCCATCCAAATTATCAGAAGAACAATTTTCTAGTAGATAAAGTCTTTCTCACTGCCAATTTTCACTTTGATGTGTTGTCTATAACCCCTACTTTGAGATATTTGCCCTTGCCACTAAACAAATTTTCAGTTATTTTCCTAGAAGTATTTGTGACACACATGACCTTTAATTCTATGATTTTGATCTTATCAAATTACTATCTCTAAAGTTTTCTAAATTGTAAAATCTTTCCACAACAATCATTCTGAGAGGAACATAAACCTGCCTACCCCATTATAGATGAACAAAGTCACGCAGAAGAAATTGTATTATTATGTGCAATTTGTCAAAGAACTCTTATCCAAAAAAGTGAAGTAGGGATGTAGGCCATAAAGGAAAAAAATGAGAGTATAGGAAAAAAAGAGATTTTAAGTAGTGTCTTGAATTCCCACAAACAGATTACATTGGATTTGAATAAGTTTTACAACTGTTCATTACATATCACAAATTATTTCTGTATATTTATTTCAGCTAATGTTAAACAATACATTAGAAACCCATCATGTATTCTTACCTGAATAATATCATCAGCTCCTCCAGTAGCTGGTTTAGACCTGAGTTCTTCAATTTCTCTCTCCAGTTCTTTAAAAAAAGTTGTAAAGAAATTTCACAGCAAGCATGAATTGATGCTTCATAGTATCAACATACTAGTAAAGCCAAAACCTAACACGATTTCTATTCAAATTAGAGTTGTCTTATTTCACCAATTCTCATTTGTTGTTGAGGAATGCAAAGGGCTAAAGGAGATAGAGTAAGCATTCAGTACTGCTTCTCTGGTGCTGATATTCAGCCTGACTTTAGAAAGAAGCAAAGCTTCCTTGTTTGGATGGAGAGACAACAAATAGAAAGATATTGGACAATTGTCTTATCTTCTATTTCAAGACCAATTTAAGCCAAAGAAAAGATACATTTATCTCTTCCCAAGTTCTCTGAAAATAGGCAACAGATAGAATAACAAGATCTTATGAATAACCTCAGTGAAGAAAAGCCTAGTATAGCCCATCCCTATCCTTATTGTTTTGTTGGGCAACTACCAGCAGTCAGCATGACTGTAACTCCAAACAAGGGGATGCAACTCTAGTGCACTAAATGAAGAGAGCAGAGAGGTGGGGAATAGCATATGCGAGCACAGTTACATATAGGATGCTTTTAGTTATTAACGCAAAATTTCATTTTATCCATTTTAGGATTTTTTGTCCCAAGAAGCAAATGATCAGATACCAAGAAAAGCTAGCATCTTCAAAGAGGCCACAGTACTCCTCAACAGGAGTGTACAAAACCTAATAGAAATGCACTGTCCTCCCATCTACTAGGTTATCCCTGCAACAGATACGGGGAACAGACAACAGCAAGCCCCACTTCAACACAATCTACACCTTTTCATAACAGCACAGTGTCACACTAAATTAAATTAATAATTGACAAAAGCAGCATTTCTTTTTCTTCCCTACCTCACTCTAGGGATTTTAGACCTTATCCTTATCCTATAGAAATCATAGAAAAGAAAAATAGAGTATTTATGTAGAATTTAAATCTACCTAGCAAAAATGTGCAGTACAATAAGGAAAGGTGAGATAATACCAAGCATTAAGATGGAAATTACTCCCATTTCAATGAGGTACCTGTACATCTTGACTTCACTTTCTGTATTAGCATCATTTGCTTTTTTGCAAACTTGATGAGATCTTCTTTGGGCAATGTGTCCAGCTGTAAAAAAAAAAAAAACAACAGAACAACATAATACAGAAACCAAATTCTCTAACCTAGAGGTAAACAAAAAACGAGTCATTTTAATATCTGACTTCCAATAAGTGAAATCTTAGGATGGGAACATGTTCTAGCATGCTCTAGGACAGCCAAGGTATTGCAGTTATCCAGTTCTACCATTTCAAGTGCAACAAGAAGAACTACTCTTAATTCTGTGTTTTTCTGAAATCTTTCTAGAGCACACAACTGGAAAGCATCAATGAGAAAAAAAAGAACTCACTTGGGAAGGGCTACACTTCAGAACACAGGCTAAGGTGTTGGGAGTAATATAATTTGAACAGTGTTTTACATATAGTACACTGACCTAATGTCAGCATTAAACAGTTTACATCCAGAACATGGAAAGAAGTCTGCGTACATTATGAAATACACTACTATCAGAGCTAGATGCTACTAAATAATTTGTCAGTTATTATGACATCAAGTAAGCATATCAGTAACAGAACTGTTATTTGTTTTCCAAAATGTCTTAGCCTAGTGTTTATCTATCACTTTTTGAAGAAGTCTAGAAGCCTGGAAATTGCTTAAAAATACCCTTATGCCTTTCTGTTAATCACAGCTAGCTGATGTGCTATGTACAGCATGATAAGCTGTAACCCTCTCTACCACTGCTATTCAAATAAATTTGCAAGATTTGATCACCTTTGATTTGCCTGATCCTGGTGTGGCCGGGGATGCCACCATTTCTTGTCCTCCATCTTGTACCTACAACAAAATAGATATTATGTGAGAACTGAACTTTTTTTTTTACATAGACTACCAAAGGAACTAACTGAAATCTGCAAACATGGAAAACAACTAATATAGTGGGAATTCAAGAAAACTACAGTATTTGTGGATCAGTCAGACGGAAAAATGGAGAAAAGTCAGACAGAGGTCAATTGTGATTAATCCAGTAAAACAGCAGAATTGAACACTCCTGATTTGTAAATCAGTGTTATGATTCTGTTGCATTACTGAAAAGTCATTCTATTTACAAACAGTTACAATAGTGTGTCTCATCACTGTTACTTAAAAACCATTTAAAAATGCACAAACAAATAAAGCTTGTAGTGTATCAGCAGTTAAAACAAACGTTGGGAACTTCCTAACAAAATACATCCCACAATTATGTTACTGTTTTTTTAACATAGTGGTGATCACTAAAAGTTTAGGCCTGAAAACATATTTTAAAAGGGTCAACATTCTGGACTCTCTATTCCTAACATTTACACGTACGACACTTTTTACCATAAACTTCCACAGATTCAATCTGTGATACTCTGAGTTATTTTAGAGTAGATTTACAAGATATGCTTATCAATACTTGGGAATGTAAAAAAACATTCATAAATAAGATGGAGAAAAGGGAAATTGAACAGATACTTCCAACACATGAAGGGTAGCATTTCAGGCTTTAAGCTTTATCCAGTGTTTTCTCTCATTCTAGGGAGTGAGTAGAGGTCTATATATTCACACACTCCCTCACTTCTATTTTGCTGCGCTCTTTATTCCAAGAAAAAAACTCATAATACAAACTTAGGCAAACAAACAAGATTTAAATGTTATTTTAATGGATAATTGCTGACTAACAATTTTCAGAGACAAGCTCACAGAGGTAACAGGAAAGACACTATCTAGAAATACCAGTTCAAGTACAGACCAAGGACAAAAGCAATTACAGTTAACTCTCTGGAACATGCGAGCTGGTGTTTTTTGAGAAGATAAAAGGAAACTTGTTAGAAAATAACATGCCTGTCCAACACAACTACAACGTTTATGAAAGAAAGCTATAAATAAGTTTGTAGTTCAAATTTTCTTGGCACACAACCTTTGTAAACATTTACATTCTTAACATTTCAGCACTGTCCTTAGCTCAATGCCGCCACTACAAGCAGTTTACTTACACAGTAAGATTAGGTATAACACATTGGGTGTACCGCTTAAGAAAAATGGTAGCACATCTCTCTATACTGCAGTAAGGTCAGGATCTATGTTATTTTTATGCTACTTGAAGGTAGCATGCAGAGGCAGCAATGTATCACGTAGTTAGCATCCAGTTTTGCTGTTCTGCGAACAGATACTACAAGCAACTCATGTACAGAGCTTCATTTGTTTGAACTGTAGGAAAAATGAGGAAGATGTTTACTCAAAAACCCTACTTTTGACAGATTGGGTGTGCCCAAGCCATGAGCCAACACACAGCACACTTCCAAGGACAACACTGAATCCTGTAAGAATTCTCAAGTTCCTGCTCTGTCATTCTGAAACCAGGCTATGCTTCTACACTTGGCTGGTCATGTACACGTATATTTAAGGTCTTCCTCATCTGCATTAAGGTGTCTCCAACACAGTTTAGCATGCTCTCTGTATTTTAATTGCTATCTACCCCCCTATAGTTTTAAACTGAGACAGGAGAGGTTTAGGTTAGATGTTAGGAGGAAGTTTTTCACTCAGAGGGTGGTGACACACTGGAACAGGTTGCCCATGGAGGTTGTGGATGCCCCATCCCTGGAGGCATTCAAGGCCAGGCTGGATGTGGCTCTGGGCAGCCTGGTTTGGTGGTTGGTGACACAGCAGGGGGTTGAAACTAGATGATCATTGTGGTCCTTTTCAACCCAGCCCATTCTATGAGTCTGTGATTCTTACTTCTGCAATAACTAAGCATACTCTTCTACAGCTGGCCAGGCCTTCTGCTGAGCTGTGCTGTAACCTGCAGCAGTGACAGCCGCCCTGAGCCGAGATCTGGCACCACAGCCACAGGAAATTACTCCAAAACACATCCCGACTAGCGACCACCTCAGCGGCGGCACGGCCCGAACACAGCCCAGTAACCACTGGCAGGGTTCATTTCACGCACGGTGCCCGAACTCTTTTGACGCTGCCTTTGCGTTCACCTCGGTGGTTACAGAAGCCACACGAGATACACGTACAATCGGGATATTCTGATTCTATACACCTCGCTCGCAGCTGACGCACAGCTAACACACGGGGTCACCTCAGTAACCCCTGTCCACCCGGGGGAACTTTTACAGACCGACGTTTGCTCACCCACAACACCCCCGCTCGTCAGCCGAACGCGCTTCCCGCCAGCCAGCCCCGACGGGCTTCCCCGAGCCCCGCACGCAGCACGGCACCCCCAGACTCCCGCCCATCCCGGCAGCCCCTTCCCGCCCCCTCACGAGGAAACCGTACCCCCGCCCCGACCCCGCGGGAGCTGAGGGCTGCGCGCCCGCAAACGCGACCCGAAGTCACGCGCCTGCGCGAGGGTGAGGTAACGGCCCCCCGGCGACGGCCGGCCGCCCGCCCGTTACCTCCATGGCGGAACCGGCTCGCTGCTAGCGCGGAGCGACCGCGGCGCCCCTGACGGCACCGCTACCCCAGCGCCCCCACTTCCGCCTTCGTCATCCCCGCACGCCGCTAACGCGGCGCGCCCCCTACGGCCGACAGCTGCAGAGCGACCGGCAACGGAGCCCCGCCCCTGGGTATGGCCGTGCCTCCTGAGCGCGGCCCCCAGTACAGGAAAGACGGAGAGCTGTTGGAGAGGCTCCGGAGGAGAGCTACGAAGATGATCAGGGGACTGGAGCACCTCCCCTATGAAGACAGGCTGAGGGAGCTGGGCTTGTTCAGCCTGGAGGAAAGAAGGCTGCAGGGTGACCTCATTTCAGTACCTGAAGGGAGCCTACAAACAGGAGGGGAATCAACTCTTTGAAAGGATAGATAACTGCAGGACAAGGGGAAATGGTTTTAAGTTGAGGGAGGGAAGATTTAGGTTGGATGTCAGGGGAAATTCTTTACAGAGAGAGTGGTGAGGTGCTGGAACAGGCTGCCCAGAGAGGTTGTGGATGCCCCGTCCCTGGAGGTGTTTAAGGCCAGATTGGTTGGGCCCTGGTCTAGTATTAAATGGGGAAGTTGGTGGCCCTGCATGTGGCAGGGGGTTGGAGATTTATGATCCTTGAGATCTCTTCCAACCCTGGCCATTCTGTGATTCTGTGATCCAGAATCCAACCATCAGCCCATCCCCACCATGCCCACTAACCACATCTCTCAGTGCCACACCTCCACACCTCCCAAGCACCTCCAGATACAGTGACTTCACCACCACCCTGGGCAGCCTGTGCCAGTGCCTCACCACTCATTCTGAGAAGAAGTCTTCCTTGACATCCAGTCTGAGACCCCCCTCCCCCGTGTGACTGAAATCCATCCAGGCATACAGACACAGTCACGTGCATATATATGTACCACATCAAATAGCAGAAGCCTGGTGTTGCGGTTTACAGTTCAGTTTCAGAATGATAAGACCTTTTTCTAGGTTGGAGTTTGAGAGGAATTATACCTACCATCATTTTTTAAATATGCACTTTTTTTCTTTTTTTTTCTTCTGTAAGCATGCATGCACGCACGTTGATAATGCTTGCAGTATTTTTGATGTTGCATGGTATGTAATTGATTTTTAATGAGAAGTTGCTTGGCAAAAAACAATTTAGGCATATTGTTCTCTTTACAATTCCCCAGATAAATATTGAATATCACTGAATTAATTGGAGTGTCATGAGAGAACACCTACTGTCTTAGTAAATTAGGCAGCTGCGTTTGTCAAGATGCTACTCTTGGTTGAGCAACTTGCATTTCGCTGAGTATTCCTGTTGTCCTCCTCCTTTTAAAAATCAAATTATAAATAGTGACAGAAGGCTGAAAGGTTGTTCATATATACCTCAAAAAGCATTCCCTTGTCTTGTGCTCTGCACCCCAGCGCACTCACTATACGTATGTTTATCGCATACTGTAACAGATGCAGTTAAACATTTGCTGAAGCAGCAGATGGTTCCTTGCTCTCACAGGCTGATGGCCGGTGTGGATCTTTGTAACAAGCCCTTAAGAGCTGCCTTTCCACTACCCCTCTCCTTACATTCCACAGAATAACCAACATAGGGGCTGTCTTTCCTCACCCACCCTGGAAGGCTCTGAACTGGGCCCTGACAGAGCTCCCAGGGATGTGTGTTTGACAGATGGGCCAGATCTCACCCTGCTCCCCTTCATTTTGTGCAAGAGAACTTGTACAAAACAGATTTCTCTAAACAAATAAAAAGGTTTTGACAGTCCTTGTTTCGGGTCTTAAATTGCAACAGGAGCTGCAAAACATCCTGTTTGGAGTATAGAAACAGAATAAAATAGTCGTTCCTAGAAAGAACAGAAGAAAAAACATTGAGGATTTTGACGGGTGACCATTTCAATTTGTTACAACCAAATATTTCTTATGCTAAAGTTGCTCCATATTTCTTGGAAGAAATGCTGATTTATACCCATAATAATACCCACAAAGATGATCAGGGGACTGGAGCACCTCCCCTATGAGGACAGGCTGAGGGAGCTGGGCTTGTTCAGCCTGGAGAAAAGAAGGCTGCGGGGTGACCTCATTGCAGCCTTTCAGTACATAAAGGGAGCCTACAAAGAGGAGGGGAATCAACTCTTTGAAAGGGTGAGTGACAGCAGGACAAGGGGAAATGGTTTTAAGCTGAGGGAAGGGAGATTTAGGTTGGATGTCAGGGGGAAATTCTTTACGGAGAGAGTGGTGAGGTACTGGAACAGGCTGCCCAGGGAGGTTGTGGATGCCCCGTCCCTGGAGGTGTTCAAAGCCAGATTGGATGGGGCCCTGGGCAGTCTGGTCTAGCATTAGGTGGAATGGTGGTGGCCCTGCATGTGGCAGGGGGGTTGGAGATTCATGATCCTTGAGGTCCCTTCCAACCCTGGCAATTCTGTGATTCTGTGATTCTGTGATAGTCTCACATTATTTTCTTAAACAGATTATGAATAGTATTTTATCTATCTCAAAGAAGTCACTAGGATTATGCATGCAGCTAATTTGGGACAAGATAAGTGAGAAAAACAAGAATAATTTATATGCCCTATGTATTGTATAATTTTATTATCTTTGTAAAGATAATTAGTTCTTCTTTTAAAATAACATTGTTTATGTAAAACAAGATTGCTGGAAGCCTTATGAGACATGTTGGGGCAGAGCATAATGAACTTTAGATTCTGCTTTCATTGGAAGGCCAAGTTCCACAGGACTGTGTTTAGCCATTGCACAAAGGCTGTGTATAAACACTTGTTCACTAGCACTGGAATTATTAGACCTACAGGAATGTTCTGAAGAGTACAGAATGAGGAAATTACTATAATTTTGCACCTGAGGAATGTGTTTCTAACTTGCAAAGCTGATGCTTTAAATATTTGGCTCTGTGGAATCTGAATCTGCCTTTCCAGCCGGTTCTGTAGATCACAAACTTTCCTTTATGAACCACTTTGTACCAGCCAGTATCCTTGCCTTAAGTTGCTTTTATGGCTTCTCTACATACAAAATAAGTATAAAGAAAGGCAGGGTATGAATTTACAGTATGTTAACTATTCATTCCTATTTGAAAGCTTCAAGTATACTCTCCACACTGTGCAATTGAACTGTAAAATCTTTGGCTGACCATAGCCACATTTACGTAGGTTTGGGGTTAGTAGGTTGTGGAATTGTACAGACTACAGGTATAGTGACAAATTAATGTGAAAGGGGAGGCTATTCTCAATGTCTGTAAGAGTAAATGAGATGCAGGGGCATTACTGTCCTATATTTATACTGCTTTGTGTGTGAAGGGCTTTGTTAGCAATTTAAAAAAAAAAAAAGAGAAGAAATTGTTTATCTAACCCTTAATTCTGTTCTGAAATTGCAACAGGAAATGAAAGGTAAAGAGTTCAGTGTTGTGTTACTGGTCTGCAAAGCCCACCGAGCCTATTCAGAGATTATAGTTAAACAAGGAAGCTAAAATTGTGTTTGAGCACTTAGGGTTGGGTCTGGCTGTAGAAGACTGTTCCATTGTTGACTGATCGTGAAAACTCTTCTAACTGCATATAGAAATAGAAGCAAATAAAGATCAATGTGGGTTACTGGCACAATAACAGGTTATTAAGAACCAGCAGGCCTCATTGTAAGAATTTTTAAATAATTCAGTTACCTTATTTTTCAGATGTCCAGCCTAAGACCACATCTGCAGCTGTATTACCACTATCAGAGCAGATACCCTAGGTATCTTGCTTTTGACATTCTCCCAGTATCTCCACAATCAGATTAGATGCCTATAATTCAGCTGTGAGCCTTCACACACTCTGAGCTCACACTGCTTAAAAATACCAGCTGCCCCTGCAGCAGGTTATGCTGAAGCCCTTCTGGAAAATGATATGTGATCGATTTGCTTCTTCAACATTAAGCATGGGACACTGCTGCACTACAGCATTCCCAATCCACCTACACAGTGCCTAAGTCTGTGCTTGGTCTGGAGAGCAGGCAGAGCCTGGTTATCCAGCCTAAGCCCAGGACTTCAGGCCTGGCAGCATGGCTTGGTTTCATCCTATGAGTGGAATGAATTTCCTCAGAGAGCCTCTAGTCTCACCTGTAGCCTACACTGAGCCAGGGCTCGCGTGACTAATCAAGAGATGTGAGTGGAAGTCCAGGCTTAAAAAACAATGTTATTGCACCTCTGGAAAATTCCAGAATTAATCATTAACCTTGTTGTAAAGATAAGGCTTCTTCTGAGCATGTTGACATAAATCTTTATAAAAAATTTATACTATATAGATGATAGGCTAAGATATCCATATCCTATATAGGTAGAACAAGTAGAATAAAAGCTACCCTCTGTCAGTGGTCTGTTTCCCAACCAGATAAACAGTAAGTTTCGATCCAAGCACAAAGCAGATAATCTGCAGTACAATTAATAGAAAGGAAAGCAGTGCTTCTCTACCTCTGAATGTAGCTAAGAAGGTAGCTAAGAAGGTAGAATAGCTCTTTCTCTCCCTCTTGCCTTAATTATTTTTTAATCTTGGCACTTCTTCCATTCTGGTTTTTAAATGGCCACCTTCCACATGTGGAAATAAAATGGCTCTGCTGTTTTGTAAAGACAGTCAAGCTACAGGGAGATCATGACTACCCTGAAACTCATACAGCGGTTTCTAGTAAACTGCTTGTGGTGTCAAGGCAGGAATCTTCATTCATTCCAGTGGGAGGACTTGATTTGGTAGCTGTTAGCGCAGAGCTACAATGTGGGCACACCTGACAATTAGCATGTATTAATGAACGCTGGTTTTCAAACATTTGTCAGCTACCAGAACTCTGCAGATATGCTTTTGTAGAAGAGAAGCAGCACTGAAGAGCTTGCTGTGGGGTTGCATCAGCTAAAATGACACAGGTCCTGTTTGAGCTTACATAGAAGAAGTTGCACTCGTTTAAGAAAGTCAGTAAAATGGTGCTTCTAGGTAGTTGGACAAAAATAAAGCATCAGTGTATGTTCAGAGCATATGTCTGACCTGAGCTCTGATCATAGCTCTGTCACTGCAGTAAACAGAGAATCACTCATTTGTATGAGAAGCAGAAACTCTACAATGGTTTAGACCGATGTGAAATAATGTAGTTAAATATGTACAATCTCCTTCTGCTGATACTGTGTGATTTATACTGTCTTATGTCAAAATATATTAAATGTCTTAGCAATGTATATCATTTCTTGTAAACCATCTCTGTAGAACACATCATTTAAAGCTATTCTATACATAGCAACTGATAAAAATATGCAAGTTAAAGACACTCTAAATGTTGGAACTCTCCAGTCATCTACACAAGCACAAGCCATACCTGTTGTGATACTCTCATAATAGGCACCAAAATGCAATCATTTCCAGGACCACTGGGGGTGCATATACCTTATAACCCTTTTCTCAAACTTTTCCTGTAACTACAGATGCAGTCTTACTGAAAACAACTAATTGTTGCCTGTAGTTTTACAAGGAATTAATTTCAATTCATAACATATTACAAATGGGTTGTTCTGTCTCAACTATGCTAAGTTAAGATGGCTTAAAAGGAAAAAACATCCCATTTTGCTATTCCCCTGCCAGCTATATTTTCTCATGAAGGTTTGTGTTTCCATCTTTGAATATATTATATATATAGACATATATGTAGTATAAATGAGATAAGGAAAGACGATTTTTACATACCCATGTATCCGGTGCTTATTTACCCTCTTTTTTTTTTTTTTTTTTCTCCCAAGATTGCTTTCTCTGAGCTGCATTATTTTTTATCTGCTTTTCAGAGCAGCTGAATTCCAGATGGGTGAAGATTTAGCTAAGGAAGATAAACCAGTATGACACAAACCTCTGTCACCCTCACCCTGTAGCAGATGCCTTCAGCATTTTGTCCTTCTAATAAACAGAGAGATTTCAAAAGAGGAGCAAATAGGTCACCTGTGCATCCTCATAATATGTTACTTAGCTACTGAGTTAAGCACATTTTCTATTTACTGATAGCTCTTATGACCGTGAATGAGGATTAGATTGACAAAGAGCTGACTCACTTCATTTCTTGGAGTGACCCAAGAGAATAGAAAAAGTCAGAGAGCAGGCAACACCTTTTCCTTGTACTGGTGACAGTGAAATAACAAGCTAAGTTAATCATGAACAAAAGCTAGAGAAGTCACAGAAACCTCCCCAGGCTCATATTTAATTTTGCTGCAAGGAGCAGCAGCACCTCTGCCAGATGATTTTTTTTCTCAGATAGCCAGTTTTCAGATACATCCTTTATATGCAGGCAGGAATCCCCACTGACCTAAAGCCCTCCCAGTGCCTGTGTTTGCATCTGTTTAACAAATGCATACTTCTAGTTCCAGTATTTCCTGCATTTTTAAAGGAAACTTGTTGGGTTGAGAGCTGACAATATAACTTCCCCATTTGATGGGAATCCTTTTGTTTTTTCCAAACTTGATATTGGTGCTCTTTAAGGAGCTATGTTCAATTTAGATATTTGGATAAATCGCTAGCCTGAAATGATCTGTGCACACTGGCTTTTGCTGCTGTTATTAGATCCCTGGAACCTCCTTGGGCCAAAGAGAAAATTCCCACAGTAAACATTTTGTGTTGAGCTACAGAGTCCGAGACAGTATTTTTCCTGTAGCTGCTGTAGTGTACATTGTTTTCCCTCTGACATTCAGGCTGCAAATCCAGTTAAACAGGAACTCTTCAGGGGCTTTTTGTGTGTTGAATTCAATAGCGGTACTTTAAATATAGAAGCGGTTTGATTGGTAATAGTTGTCCGTGATTAGAAGGGCTATGGATTATTTTAACTAATATCAACTGAAGAAATGGCTATAGTTCTGGTGCTAATGCTAAAGCATTATTTGATAATATTGAGCTTTATTGCAACTAAAGGTTCCAATTGAGCTGTTTTTATATTTAGTCAACAAGGGAAGAACAGAGAAAAGGAGTAGGTGATAATGTGATAAGTTTGATGGACACATTTATAAAGGTGGAAAAGGGGCAAATATTGTCATCACTGACTCTTGACCTGCTTCATACAAACTTTCAGGATTTTCTGCAGATGTTTGCAGAAGTTGGTACTATTCATTTCAAAAAGGCAACAATGGCAAAAGCTCCTTGTCTTGATGCAGTAGTGTCTACAACCTTCACAGCTGGATTGAAGATGACTACTTCTCTATAGCCCTGTAACAAATTTCATCAGGTAATTTGTGTTTGATATTTTTGAAAATGCTGCTTTCATCTCAGTGGCATTTATGATGGCCAGCTTAAAACAAGAAAAAAATAAAATGGTTCTACTTTGCACACTTCTCTTGCTTTGTTTATTCTTGACCAACATTTAAAATTCTTTATTGCTGTTATTTATTAATTAATATTTATACAGTGTGGGAATAACATATAATAATGCCCACAGCTTGTGCAATCTTTTAACACCTTTTTTTTCCTGTTTCCTAATTTCTGATTTGAAAATGTCAGTGATATCAACTGCAGTTTAACAAAGACAAAAACCCAAAATATCTAAAATAATTTAGTTAATGCTAAAAGTTACTGTTGAATGGCAAATATTCAGGGAGGGAGTATTTTCTTCAGGGAGGCAAATCTACATTTCCACATAGTTTGTACAATTTCATCGTAATGAAAAATCAATAGTGAAAGATTTTGAAAGGCATTTTGTGAAGGAAAAGCAAAATATGGAAAAAGAAAAATGCAGATAGATTGTAAAGAATAACTTCTGTTGCTAATAATCACTGTTCCGTGCGAAAAACTAGAGAGGTATCAGCCATTTTCTTCTTATAATGCTCATCAAATTTCTTATTCAGTGCCACAGTGAAAAAATTCTTCCAGTCTCCGACAGCTCCTATGAAAAAGAAAATATTTTAATTTACCATTATCTCTTGAAGCGACTTACTAAAGATCTATACTTGAAAAGAACGATTATTTCAAGGCAGAATGACAAGCAGAAAGAGACTTAATGCCAGTAATAAAACTCAGTACCTTTTCTCATGAATGGGGAAACTGAGTGATCCATTACTCCCACAAAATCCCTAGTGTAGTTTGCCATGGGATTGTCTTTCATTATCTCAAATGAGGTATTATATATTATCTTGTTGAGAACCTCCTCATCTAAGTCCTTCTCCAGAAACTTCATAATCTTCTGAATTTCTCTCTTTGGATTCTGCAGAGAGAAGACAGTAGGGCAAGAAACAGAGCCAAAAAAAGCAAGGAAATTGCAGTTGTTATCAAGGTGAAAAGTCGGGTTGTCTGAAGATTTACAGGTACAAATGACATAATGGGCATCTGTTGATTGTAGATATATCTACTGAACTACAGATTTCAAACAGATCTCTATAAACACACATTCAGGCTTTACCTCCTTCATATCTTCATAGAAGAGGTAGAGAATACGGTGCTTGTCTTTTGCCTTCCACCATCCTTTTACATGGTCGTACCAGGAACCCCAGAGCACTGAAAAAGGAGTAAAAGCAGCAGCAACTATAAAAACCCAGTCTTACCTTGAAGTGTCTGTGTCTCTGACAGATCCTCCATAATCAGTGTCTATTATTTCCCTGTTCTTTAAGCTAGTTTTGATTCACGTTCAATTTGCCCTGCAGAGTGTTGGAGTATACGGACAAGAAAGGTCCCTTTCAACCTGTTTAATTCTAACTGGTTGAATTATTTGGTATGCTATCAGAAGGGCCTGTTTCTCTCTGGTAAGTACCAAGGTGACTGGCTTGGACAGAGGTTGCTATATTCTAAACAACTGCACTGGGAAAGAAGGCATGCAAGTGGTGATGTTCAATTAGGCATGAGACTTTCACACTGGTCCAGACAGTGATGTTTCTAGGCCTACATATTTCCAAAAAGGACCTATGGAAACTTTTACTGACCAAAATTGAACAGTCATCCAAATGAACAGGTTTTATTTTTTGGATACGAGTGCTTCTTTTAGAGGAGGAAGAATCAGTTTCTGGGGTTGCCTATCCTTAGCTACATAATTGTCTTTTTTCAGATGCCTGATTTTTAGACTGTTGAATTTAGGTAAAAGGACTCCACTAGCTCAAATTCACGCTGCTCAATCTATGCATAATTAAACTTGGCTTTCTTGTGTGTAATGCTAGAATATAGCCATTGAGCTACTGTATCTTCCCTGATGGCTTCTAAGCAGGTTTCTTTTAACCTCACAGAGAAAAACCTAAAAATCATCACATATGGTTTTGAAAGATAATGGAGTAAAGAGTAGCATTGTTTTTTTTCTCTCAAAGTGTGCATGTAAAGATGTGGTTCATCTTATAGGTATTCAAAGGTAAAAACCTTTGAATGAAGAGAAATTACTATTGAAACACTTTTAGTGGATATTCCTCCACAGACTGTCAGCACTGAATTTCAAAACAGATATTTAGCTATTGGGTAGTTTTAAATGAACAAAATTTCTTAAACAACTAATTGCAGCTCATCACCTTCTCCACTCATGAATTTCTCTGTGAACTTCTCAATGGTTCCTGGGTCAGGCAATACTTTATTCATTCTGTGGAAATGGTAGTATGACACCAGGTTGTCTTTTGCATTTCTTGCCACATAGATGATCTTTGTTGGATGTGAAAATGAGAGAGAGAGAGAGAAAATACAAGATTAAACATGATTCTATGGATATTGAGCTTTTCCTCGTGTTTTCTCTTGGAGCCTGAGTAACAAAGGCTGAAGAGATTTTGCTTGGAAACTGCCATTCTCTGTCCTCCAACACAGAAAACTCAGTCATCACTTCTTTAGTTTCACAGACTTTGAGCAATAAAGGGGAGATAGGTGGGGAGACCTTTACAAAGATTCTGGAAACCACATTCAGTCTGCTTTTATTACTTTCCTTCCATGTGAAGTAGAGAGGTTCCTACCTCTTCAGCCTTACCTTGCAGTTTTGTTCCCAGAAGGAGGGAGGCACCAGCTGCACAGGGAGATGAGTTTTCATTGTTCGTGGAGAAGGCATTGCTTCAGCTAACTTCAGGCCTGCAGAATGACTTTTTATGAGAACTGACCTGCTCTTTAAGTTCTGCTAGTGCTTCTTTGCTATTGAGATTTTGATGGTGATTTTTTAGAAGGTCACCTTATAATGATCATTAATCTCCAAAGCAACTAAACAGAACATCGACAACATTGCATAAACAACTTTTGTGCTTCTGAAGGAATTTTTACTCATGTAATTTTACTTATGTTTTGAGGACATCTGCAGCTGACTGAGGTACTGTAGAGTATGACATACAGCTTTCAGAGGCACACCTTCAGTAGGGCCTGTGCCATATCTGCCAGCCTTGTATCGGCTTGTGTAGCACTTGATGCTTGTGGTAAAGCAACTGAACTGCACCCTGATTCTTGTTGTGGCACATAGTGCAGTGGCAAAGAAAGCCCGTGGCATAAGTTCTGGATGCTTGTTTTATTTCACTTCATTTAAATACAAATCGATTTATGTGATATTCACCTGAGTATCCAAGAGGTGAAGAATCTGGGATATACCACTCAAGGAAAGGATGGCGTTTGTAAGTACTGGCACGTCTACACTTCTCAACGTCTCCATTCTGTTCAATCATATCCACTATCTCCTGTGTCCATGTAGTACCTGAAAATGTCAGTGCTTAGATGTTTCCCCTGGGGAGAGCTGAGAGTCTCTTCTGCTGGGGGACTGAAAGCTGGAAGGATGGAATCCGTGTCAAAAGAGGAAGGAATAGCACAGAGCGTGATTGAAAAAACAGAAAGAGAGGATAATGGAGGAAAAATGCATAATTAGGTATAAAAAGGTGATTTCCAAAGCACAGTTTCAGGGATTCTATTTTTGAAAGGTTTTTTCTTTCTAATAGAAACACCCTCCACTGCCACTCTGAGATAAACAGACATACTAGTTTGGAGACTGCATTATTTGAAAAGAAGAATGAAACTCCCATATCCCAACTTCTACCTTTTCACAACAATTCAACAATTTCAATTTTTGATTTCATCCTGAATTTGAATGAAAAAAAAAAAATGAAATACGTAACCTTTGAGTGAGTATATAGTTTGACAATATAAAAAGCTGCGGTATTTTCAATGTTCCCATTTGAAATGCTTTAATGAAGCTCAGTACATTTTATTTCATCTGCCGGAGCTAATGAAACACCTTGTGAGAGATACAGAATTGTGTCTTTCATGTGCCTCTTCTCCTTTGTAGCTGTGGTCATGAGGTTAATCACATCTCTTCCCAGGTACTTTGGCTAGAGAACCAGTTAAGGAATAACCTGGAAAGTTATATGGGTAGGAAATTCAGCCACTAATAGGATGCTTGAATTGTGTGGACTGGCAAATACAATATAATGTCAAATGTACTCCTGATTTTACTTATTTTCAGTTCTGTGGTTGAGGTATTTTAATCTAGGCAGACTAAAATAACATCCTTTTAGTTAAAGTTGACTAGAAGTAAGCTAAAAGCTTTCAGCAAAATCTTTTTTCTACCTTCAAAAATAAATAAATAATTTTTGGTAATAATATTCATTCTTATTTTCTGCCGGAAACAACACTTAAAAATTCGTGCTAGTTTTTTATGATCATCAAATGCTTCTGAGTCTGTTCCCAAATCTCCTGAACTATATGTGTTTTTGTTCATCCAGTGTAAGTATTGAAAACCTGTTACTTGTTGCTTTCCCATATAATAAGTATAAAGGATCTAATCAAGAGGAGAAATAGTAATTAATTGAATGTCCAGTCAATGAATTTGGTTATTTATTTAAGAAAAGTAGCCTATCTCTAGTTAGGTTTCCTGTACTCATTTGGATATGGTGAATTCAAGTATGAATACAATTCATACTTGTAGTTTCTGTTATTTCTCAATAAACTGTCATTTTTACTAGGCTTTGTTAAATAACCATCTGCTGATGGAAAAGTTCTACAGAACATTAGTATCTATGTATATAGCCTAAATCGAAGGAAATGTGTGAGCAATTAGACTTTGACCATTTGAACTTCAATACTAATAGTCCGTAATTTCTGCCAAAGGAGTCAAAAGTTGCTCACCACAGCTAACAGAGCTTCATGTCTTTAAAATATAAGTCAGTTTTGGGATTGAACAAATATCAGTCACAACAGAAAAATGGAATTCTCCATTCCAGTAGTGAGCACTATCCCAAACTTTTCTGTTCTATTTCCTGTGCACACAAACCTGCTTTTGCATATGTTGCAATGAGCAGATCATCAGGTCTGGCTTTGAAGTTCCACACTTGATCCCATATGGCGCATATTGGTTTCGTGACAGGAATACCTTGCACTTCACCCGTTTCAGATCGGAGCATATCATCATCCAGACTCAAATTTTTCATTTTATCCAGGGCCATTTTGTCCTGCATGAGGAATGAAAGGCTTGGAAATTGACGTGTTTGCCAAATTGACTCGCCCAACCTCAAGGTCCCTTTCCATATCCTCTGATTTCGTTGCCTGTATTTCAACCCATCTGAGTCCATATTTATGCTCCCGAATGTAATTTGAAGAAATGCTTGGCATATTGCTGTTGGTAACTCTCAGCATCTTTAAAACCACTTCATTTACTCAGATACAAGAAGAGATTATAAAAACCCCAAACATTATTTCCATCTTCAGATATTTTAGAAAACATATTTATGTAAAACACTGACTGTAATTGCGACCTTTGAAAGGCAAGAAAAACTAATCAGGGATGTGATACAAAAGAGAATAGAACCTAAAAGCTCCCACGGCACATAGGACCCAACCCTTTGTTCTGAAAGAAAATAAACAGACTCTCCTGATAACACCCCTTGGACCTGATACTCACGATAAATAAGCGCAGAACTTGTCTGGTCTGTGTTTCGTTCGTGCAGCTTTCCACTTTTAGGGTTTTTTGCTGAATACTGGATTTTTTTGCTGATAAATAACCTGAAACAGATAGATGATTAACTAAAGGCTGTTACACATTAATTATTTAAATCAACCCAGTTGAATCCGCTGCCCATCCTACAGCTTTGCAAAAAGTAGTTACAGATTTATGTATTCCTCTTGAGGAATATTTTAGCCATAAAATTCAGAGTTCCAGAATCTGATGGGTGGAAATTTCTGCTTTAGGGGAGGCTACGGAAATAACCTCAATTACAAATACGAGTTAGAAAGGATAAAAGACAGATTTCAATTTCAACAGCAAACATTGTCAAAATATTTCCTTTTGTTTACATGTTTACTCACATCTGTTTTCACACAGATTCTGTTGAACAGAGCAAGAAGTTGGTTGGTGACTGAGCTCTGAGCCAAGAAATTAAAAAAAAAAAAAAAAAAAAAGTAAGAAACTTACAAGAGAAGTTTTCATGCTTGAATGTCTTCAGCCATAGGTCATATCAGTGACAGTGTAACTGCTCAGATCTTCAGACAGATGTAGAATGAAAGCTTGGGTGGAGTTTCTATTCCTCCTATGAGTATGATGAGAGCAAGGGAGGAAATGCAACAGCAGCCAATAGCTGAAGAGTTTTATTGGTTACTTAACTCCTTTTTAATCCTGTCATGGAAAACTACTTTGAATTCTCATCTGAAGTATGATTCTTTGCTGAAAACAACCTTGGATGTTGGCTATTACCTCCAGAAAGATTATTTTAACTTGTCTGTATTGTTGTCAATAGTCGTGAAATGATACATTTTCTTTCTAATATTAATCTAAGTTGCCAGAACAGTTTATTTGCTGTTAACACTTAAGATCCATGGGACTGAATAAATTGGTTTCATTTTCATGATATTTGGCACAATGCTCATTTAATGGAAGTCCAAGGATATGTTTTATTGATGGGGCTAGCCATTTCTGCTATAGACTACTTTCTAATAGGCTCACTTCTCAACTAGTATGGCATTGCAGGGTTTGGGATCCCTGCACGTGAGGTAATGTTTCTTTCTAAAATCTAAGTTTCTGCCTAACTTTGTATGAGGTGCTGGGAGAGATAATGATGTGCCCTACATGAGTCACAAAGAGCATAGTAACACTGGCTGACAAAAGTGGGATAATGACACTTTTATATCCAATTCTCAAATATTGCAGTTAGATGCTTGAACGCATCAGAAGTTATTCTTTTCCTGAGGCAAAATGTAGGTTACTTCAGCTGAACTCAAGAAAGTTTGGGTGGATTGTATTCATAAGCAAAATTATGAATACACAGCAGTGCTATCAGGTCCTGCTTCTGTTTTCCATTGGAGGTATGCAGTCACTCTGCGTCCTTAAAATTCCTGTTTGGTTATCCTTTGGATGGCCTGGCAAGATTTGTATCTGAAATAGTTTTCTTTCTGTTTCCATTTTAAAAGATATTTCATGCATCCAAATCAAATGAGGATGTGGCCACCCTTGCACAATCCAACCCTTTTATGGAGGGCTAATCAGCATTCTACCCCTTGATCTACATACAGTTTACATTTCCCAGAAATTTTACAGGTTATATGTTATGTTAGTAATGTGAGCTTTTGTACAAAGCCCAAGAGAGCTGACATGAGCTGTTCAAGATCACTGATACATAGATTCATAGTCATAGAATGGTGTGGGTTGGAAGGGACATTAAAGACCATCTAGTTTCAACCCCTTTCCATGGGCAGAGAAACCTTCTAGTAGACCAGTTTGCTCAAAGGCCCATCCAACCTGGCCTTGATCACTTCTAGGGATGGGTCATCCACACCTTCTCTGGGCAGTCTGTGGCAATGCCTCACTGCTCTCATCATTAAGAATTTCTTGTATGTAATCAAAGTCTACCCTTTTTAATTTTAAAGCCACTATGTCTTGTTCTGTCATTCTACTTCCTGATAAAGAGTCCCTCCCCATTTTTCTTGTAGGCCCCTTTTAAGGTTTTAAGGGCTGCAATGAGGTCTCCCGAAATCCTTCTTCAGACTTAAAAATCTCAGCTCCCTCAGCCTGTCTTCTGGGCTGCAAGCACAAATTGGTGGCTCATGTTCAGCTTTTCATCTACTACTACTCCCAAATAAGACTGTTCTTCATCCATTTCCCACTTAGACTATGTTTGTGTTTGGGATTGCCCTCATCCAGTTGCAAAACCCTGCGCTTGGCACTGTTGAACTGCATGAGATTTGTGCGGGCCCACCTCTCAAACCTTCAAGGTCTCTGAATGACATCCCTTCCCTCTAATATGTTGACTGCACCACACAGCTTGATGTCATATGCAAACTGGCTGAGAGTACATTCAATCTCACTGTCCACAAATATGTTAAGTAGCACCGGCCATAATGCCACCCCCTGACAAATACCATTTGTCAGTGGTTTCCACATGGACGTCAAGCCATCGATTGTTAGTGCAACAATCCAGCCAATTCCTCATCTATGGAGTGGTCCACCGACCAGATCCATATCTCTGAAGTTTAGAGACGAGGATGTCATGCAGTATAGTGTAAAATGCTTTGTACAAGTCCAGGTATCACCAAGGTTGGAAAAGACCTCTAAGATAATCCAGTCCAACCATCTATACATATCACCAATATTTCCCACTAAGCCATGTCTCTCAATACAGCATCTAAACATTTCTCGAACACCTCCAGGGATGATGACTCCACCACCTCTCTGAGTAGCCTGTGCCAGTTCCAGACCACTCTCTAAGTACAAGTATTATGTACTAAGTACATACTCTCTAAGAACAAGTATTTCCTAATGTCCTACCTGAATCTCTTCTCATGCAACTTGAGGCCATTCACTCTAGTCCTATTTCTGGTTACATGGAAGAATAGGCCCTGACACCCATCTCACTACAACTTCCTTTCAGGATGTTGTAGAGAGTGATAAGGTCATCTCTAAGCCTCCTTTTCTCCAGACTAAACAAACTGAGATTCCTCAGCCACTCCTCATAAGATTTGTGCTCCAGACCCCTCACCAGTTTTGTTGCCCTTCTCTGGACACGCTCCAGGGCCTCAATGTCTTTCTTGTAGTGAGGGGCCCAAAACTGAACACAGTACCTGAGTGCCTCATCAGGGCGTAGTATAGAGGGATGATCACTTCCCTGCTCCTGCTGGCAACACTATTTCTGATACAAACCAGGATGCCTTTGGCCTTCTTGGCCATCTGGGTACACTGCAGGTTCATGTTCATCCAAGTGTCAACCAATACCCTCAGATCTATTTCCTCTACAGTCTTCTAGCCAGGTAGATGATGTCAATTGCTCTTCCCTTATCTACCAGTGCTGTAACTGCATTGCAGAAGACCATCACATTTGTCAAGTATGATTTGCCATTAGTGATGCCATGTTGGTTGTCACCTATCACTTCTTTGTTTTCCATATGCCTTAGTGTAGTTTCCAGGAGACTGCCCCATGATCTTCCCAGTCACAGAGATGAGACTGACTGGTCTGTAGTTTCCCAGGTCTTCCTATTTTCCCATTTAAAAAATGGGGCCCCTTTTCTCTTCCAGGGCTTTATCCTATTGTACTCTAGAAAGCACAACCCAGAAGAGGCGAAAATCTACTCTCCTGAGGTCCAAGATAGAAGATTTGCTGTGTGGCCTCCTCACAACCCTAAGGATCTTGAATTCCACTGTTTCATAGTCACTGCAGCAAAAGCTGCTCTTGAGCTTCATGTTCCTTAACAGCCTCTTGTTCGTGAGAATAAGGACCAGCAAAACACATCTCATTCTTGGCTTCTTAATCACTTGGAGAAAGAATTTATCATAAAAACTGTCCTGGTTTCAGCTGGGACAGAGTTGATTTTCTTCATAGTGTCTTGTATGATGCTGTGTTTTTGCTTAGAGAGAAACAATACTGAGAACACACCGTGTGGCAGGTGGTGGGCAATTGCTTTGTGTATCACTTGTTTTGCAAATGTATGTATATGTAATTATTGTTGCCATTATTTCTCTCTTAGTAAATAGTTTTTATCTCAGCCAGTTTTCTCCCCAACCTTCTGGCAGTGGGGAGTGAGGTGAAAGGCTGTGTGGTGCTTAGCTGTTTGCTGGTGAACCTATGTAAGGTTTTACATAGGCTCCCAGTACAGGAGAGTATGTGGCAAAGCCATGCGGGTGAAGATTTAAAAAAAAAAAGGGTGGGGGGGAAAGATGAGTGCAGGGCTGTGCAAACAGAATGAGGCAAGTAGGGCAGATGTGCAAATGTGAGAGAGTAAGGGAAAGAGGGGAAGAAGGTGATGAGTTTTCCAGTGCAAATCATAGTAGAAAGTTAGTGAGTTCCCACTGAAGATCTGGAGGAGGTAATGAATTGGCAGCATTCTCTGTAGAATTTCAGGAAATATTTCCAAAGTATCAGGAAAAAAACAAAGAAACAAAAAAAACTTCCTGATTGGCTTTCAGACAACTACTTTATTATTTTCTGTCTCTGACACAATGGTTTCATTCTGAAGGTTGACTGAACCAGAACTAACAAGCAAGACAGAACAAACACAGAATATACAGTTAAGGTCTAATGCTTCTTTTTCTGTTTCTCACACTATTCTTTTATGGCTATCATTCTCAAGTTTTGTAATCCTGCTTTTTTTCTCTCTGTGGAAGCCCAGGC